CACCACCCCGCGCCAGCCCGCACTTTTCACCTGACCTAAACCCTGGAGTTGAAAAATGTATTCAAGTTTTTTGCAAATCAGACTTTGTTTGTGCAAACGGGGAAAAAATTAATGTTGTCAAAAACGGCGTAAAAAACCTCACATTTTGCCGCTCGGCTGCTCAAACAACGTTTTACTGATCAAAGATCCCTGAAGTCATTTTGAAGGTACATGTGTTGAGATAATGTGGAGCAATTTTGAGGCAAATCAGTGAAACGGCCGAGGAGGAGTCGCTTTACAACCGACATGTGTGAAAAGGATCATTTTTCATTTTTCCATTTTGAAGTGAAATTCATGGGCTTCCTGTTTATCAGGGGGCTTGGCCATAATAAATAAAATTATTTCATGTCTTGACTTGAGGAACATGTGTACCGAATTTGACCTCTGAAACTCCCATTGGTGGCGCTGTTCTGGCATTTTTTTAGTCCCATAAAAATAAACACCAAAATATCAAATTTTTCACAAGGTCTGATGTTTAGGCAAAATTGTACAACTTTTCATGCATGTTCAGGGGGTGAAATTAAGGCTCAAAGTGCAGAATTTGACATCTCTCGAGCAAAAACAATAGGTCCTTTCCCCGTTCGGGGCTCGGGCCTAAAAAGCAGTTCTCTGTGCGCAATGGTGCCGAAGCTGTTGCGGGTTTTGGAGTCTGATCCAGTAGAACGCATAGCTGCACTTATGAAAAGTACGCGGCTCAAAATGGCTGTTATTTCAAAGAACGTGGAATATTTTAAACCATGCGGTTAACCGGTTTCAACTGGTTAATGAGACTCGGTGGTCGGTCATGAAAATTCATAGTTTTTTACATCCCTATAATCTACACATGTGAATTACAAGCAGAGGGTGCGTTGCCATGGGTAGCGGTCATAATTGTTTTGAGAGGTCAGTTATCAAGAAAAAATTACCAAATTTTAGAACGTTTTGAAATTACATTCAAATCAGAGGAGCGTTCTACTGCTGCTGTGAGTAGCCGTGTAATAAATGATATATATAAATAATTATATATAAAATCATTATAAAACATCATGAGACAGAAATGGCACACTGTGAGTGCTGTCTGTATGTATGTGTGGCTCCACCACAGGGGATGGGGTACACAAGGCAGGGCAGGTGCGGACCTGTCAGGGCAAGAGAGTGCTGCCATTTGTTAGCGAGTGTCATTTGTTTGTGGTATTTTTAAAATAAAATAAAAGTTATTTCCTTTATCCATTTTATTATTATTTGTTTGCTGTACTACTATTGTTTGTCAATAAAGCCCCAAACACCCTCTCTGGATCTCTTCTATCTGTGGATACTTAATCAAAGGCCTCAAGTGCATCACAAAAAACAAGACCCACTTTCAGCTGCTACCATCTGCAGGGGGCCGCAGCAACCAGTATGAAAGACCTTATTATTCTATGTTGTATCACAGTTAAGACAAGAGCTGAGCCCAACTTAATCTGACAATTCTCAGTGATCCATAAAAAGTGACTGGGAGCAGTGGAGCACATTAGCCGGGGGCAGCAGTACACTTGCTCCTACACTTGAGTCTCTTCAATCTCCCACAGCCCATGGAGAACATGGAGAAGCCACCAACAATGACCAGTCAATTATGTAGCATTGTTCTTATCAGAAAACATATTGGCCTCAAATACCAACATTGCTATCAAACGGGGCTACCCCACGACAAAAAAAGTGTATGCAAAAGTGAGGGTAGGATTTATGTTTTATATATATATATATATATATATAATGTATGTATGTATGTATTGCATCATATGCACCATGAGGACATTTTTACACTTCAGAACTGGGCTAATGGCACGCAAGACAGAACCAGATCATGGAGGACAAGAACCATTTTGATGAACGATGTGATGTGTGTGATTCTGATTATTGCTTAATGTAAATAAGTAAATTTTACTGAATTTGTACTCAAATACACTAATGACAACAAGTTTCCCTGCCTGTCGCTTAAAAATGAGCACTCCAGACCTGGCCTGGTATCTTAGCTTTCAAATGTTTATGTAGAAATTGATGTATTATTGTACGTCAAGCTTCCCTGTGCGCACATAAATTTGGCACAGGGTCTCTTCATAGCTTCACTAATTACTTATAATGCATATATCATTATGTGATGGATATTTGGAAAATATTTTTCATTTCCCATAAGGCATTCGGAAGTGTGATTCTCTAGGCCCTTGAACATAATGTTGACCATCATATAGCATGAAATACAGGACCTTTCTTACTCAACAGTCTTCCTCCCAACCTTTAGATAAAGGCCCCCACTTTTCTTGTACAGTATCATACACTTCTATGGAAACTTCAAACACACAGACATGTACTGCAACATAAACCAGACCACCCCTCCCTATCAGGAAGAACGGCCCCTCTGATCTGATCAGTTATTGGACTTTTGTGCTAGTTAGTTTGTCCACAAGGTGGCACCAGCCGGATCCCCATCAGTACACATGGCACCGCCACACCCATAAGTGCACGTGGCACCAGGAGAGCCACCAGTGGGAGGTTGATGATTGATTTGTTGTGTCATGTGAAAAGGACCAAAAATGAACAATGAGAATGTACTGTAGACAAGGTGATTCACTGTAGATTCACTGTATTCACTGTATTCACTGTAGACAAGGTGATTCACTTACTGTCGTTGTTGAGTTAAACACAGCTTTTATCACAGATGAAACACAAGAGTGTAAACTTCATTGTGACCTCATAAGACTTTGCTGTGGTGGTGTGGGTTAATATGAGGGGTCAATAGCAGCACTCACACACCGTTATTCTGTTTTGATCTGGACTCTAAAGCCTCTCATATTCTTGAGCTGCTGCTGTGTCCAAGATGACCCAGGTGTTTTCTTTTGCTCCGCCGTCAGCAGTCTACTCTCGTCTACAATCCAGACAGCAGTCACCACTTAACACAGTACATCATTATTCCTCATAAAACAGATGTAGAGTTGGTTTAGCTCCATCCGCATAATATTATTAACTTCTGGCACAAAAAATAAATCACCCAGCACCTTCTTTCTAAATGCTCCGTTCTCTAACTTGTCACACACAGAACTGTTTTTAGGCCCGAGCCCCTACTGGGGTAAGGGCCTATTGCTTTCCCAACGAGTAATGCCTGGGGAAATGCCGGAGATTGTGACTTAACTGTCATAAGTCACTATCTCCGGACCTGCACGCGACGGCACGTGACAGTTACAACAACCTGCACGCGACGGCACGTGCCCAAACACAAATGGCTTTACTCCTGCTGTAGTACACAGTGAAATTAATGTGGTCCTATGGAGGGGGGATGGGTGACCTCATGATGGTGAGGTGCTCGTCAATCACTGAGAACCCAATGGTTGCGTTTGTCCGCTCGTTCGCTTTAAAACGGTGTACCATTTGTATTATAGGTTACTATGGAAACCTATATTGTTTTTGCTCAAAGATTTTCGGAAAAAAATCCTTGGTTTATTTCTTTTTTTTTTTCCTGCTCTTTGAGCCTTAATTTGACCCCCTGAACATGCATGAAAACGTATGAAATTTTGCCCAAAATTCAGAACCAGCAAAAATTTTATTTTTTTGGAGTTTATTTTTTAGGGACTAAAAAAAGGCCAGAACACCACCCCCAAAAGTCAGTTTACATTGCGCCTATGGGAGCGGGTCCGAGGTCAAGTTTGTCGTAGAGCCACTAAATTCGGTACACATGTTGCTCAACTCAAATCATGAAAAAAAAAGTTATTATGGACACGCCCCCTGACATACAGGGGGCTCATTAATTTCAATGGAAAATGGAAAAATTAATATGGATATTTTTCACACATGCCGGTTGGAAAGCGATTCCTCCTCGGCCGTTTCACCGATTTGTCTCAAAATCGCTCCACATCATCTCAACACATGTACCATCAATAGTTGATCATAGAATTTGGATCAGTTAAACGTTGTTTGAGCAGCGGAGCAGCGGAGCAACAAAATGGGACTTTTTTTTCAATTTTTGACAAAAGCAAATTTGCTCCCATTAGCACAAACAAAGTCCAATTTGCACAAAATTTTAATCCATTGTTCAGCTCCAGGGTCTAGGTCATTTGAAATACTGAAATTGGCTCATTAGCGGCCCCTACAGACTATGTCAAAGTTTTACATGGGCTGAATCCAATTTAGTTTTTTCAAAATGTTTGAATTTTTTTCATTTACAAACTCTGATTGAACATGTTTACTCACATGGGGAATGTCATTCCTCAACTCTACTAAACAAAGCTTTTTGCTCATATGTCATTATCCATGGCACACATTTAACAAATAGCTTCAAAAGAAAATATTTCACATTCTAAAAACATGACAAGCCAAAGTATACATTCAAGATCCTGATTGAAGACACATAATGAATATTTCGTAATCTTCAAACCAACGTTTTAAGCCAAAAACATTACCTTAAAAAAAAGATAGAATAATGTATGACGCTGTCTATACTGTCACATTGTTTACACAAGTTATTGTGAAAGTATTCCAAGTATTCATAATACAATGTTTGGACATTATAAAATATGTGTTACAAAACACATTAGAAGAAGGTAGGGAATTCAATATAATGTCAATAAAATATTAACCATCATGCCATCACAGTACTATGTAAGCACTTGAGGCACCCAAATATGGATGTAGCATTCATTGTCGCTTCGTTTTCAGAGGAATCCTGACCGACACGAAGCGTGCGTGAGGCCGAGGTTTGCGGAGCAAACAGCGGCTATGACTCATCTGAAGCCGGGGGAGTCGCGTCGGTGGGCCGAGTCTCGACCGTGCACTTGCGCGCCCCTCCTCCCGGGTTTGCATCTCATAGATACAGTATACTGTGCATCCCATAGATTCAGCAGACATCCATGCACCCCATTGATCCAGCAGACATCCATACATCCCATAAATCCAGCAGACATCCATGCACACAGAAAGGATAAGTGAACTCGCCTTGCTTTGACGACACACACTCAGATGCCACTGTGATCGCCTGGAGCTGCTTCGGAGGTGCGCATATCTGTCCCGGGCTCGTCTGGCTGGAGGCGCAGAGCAGAGCTAATGAGGCCTGGAAGCGACCGGGCTGCAGAGGAGGTCCGCTGGAGGAGCGTGGAGTAGGGGGAAGCCAGGGACACCGCTCCAGCACACACACACGCACGGAGCACGTCGAGCACGCACTGAGGATGGATGCGGGGGCGAGTTGCGTTCACAGACACTCGGAAAGTACATGAGGGTAACAGGTGGCTAAACAGAACTTCGGCCCTCACTGGGACACCTTGTGTTGTACACAATATTTGAACACGACATTTGAACACACTCATTGACTTGTCTTTTTGTAGACTTAAAATAAAAAATAGATATAATGTTTATACTATTCCCCATATAGAGACGTTTTTTGCCAAACCGTATAGCCAAAGAAACATTTTCATAGAAACATACCTGATCACTATTTAGTACCACTCAACACATTGGCACGTCACCACTGGCTCTGAACAACTACAGCCATTTACCAATTAAGCTCCGCTCCTGACCGCTCCTATCCGATCGTCAAACAGAAACAGAAACGGCTTAATCCCGATGTGTGAAGCCTTTTGGTGCTGTGGCCAGTGTATAAATGACCAGGAGAGACCAGGAGCGGTGGTCTCTCTGATTGACATCAACCTTATATTGGTCACAACCCCTGCTGTACATTTGGGTAGAATTAGCCTAAGGATGGGGATTAACACTTTCTTTCATTACTTTCACCTGAGGGACTGCGAAGGATTAAATTGGAAGGACATTATAAACTTTACAATCACTACAAATATTCTGTGCGGACTGCAGAGAACTAAAACATAAAGTGGGTGGCGGCAAATGCACCAATGTTGCCCTTAAACTCAAAAGAAGAAGACGAAGAAGAAGAGACCACACGCCAATGAGGTGCAGGCGCTGGTTGCGGAAGTGTGTTTGTTGGGTTTGTTGTTGTTGTTGTTGTTAGCCTGTTAGCTCCGGATGGTTGAGTACAGCCGGCCTCCTGTGTGCTCCAGTCGGCTGTGATTTGAGCCCTGTTTGGAATGATGGCGGTGAGCGCGTGTCACCTGGAGTCGGACGCCTTCCTCGTGTGTATGAGCCACGCGCTCAGCACAGAGAAAGAGGAGGTAATGGAGACTGTTAACCACCCTGGTGACGTTAGCTGCTACTGCTACTGCTAGTCGTAGTAACGTTACCACTAACCTTCTATTACTACTAGCTTAGCCACCGTTTGCCCTGTTCTTTGTGATTCTAAAACTCTTCCTCCGTAATTCCACGTTAATAGTCAACGTGGATATGTATTGACAGCAAATCCAGCATACCCGCCCCGGTGATTAAAAAACACCCTTAATATTAGGCGAATCGACCTCTAGTCCTCCGAGATAGCTACTGTTGTAATCGAGGGGCTATCAAAAAGTGTAATGTGATTGAAATAAATTGGCTGTCAGTTGGACACATTTACAAAAGTCTCACTGTTGTAAATGTGTGACAGAAGGACACTGGAAAAACTGCTCTCCATTATGGACAATCCTACACACCCACTCCACCGCAGGGCAAAGGAGCTCCTTCTCAAACAGATCTACAGTGAGTTGTGCAAGAGATTTAGATTAAGATTAAGAAATCCATTATTCGTCCCACAGTGGGGAAATTTCAATGTTGCATCACAAGTTATAGAAGAGTAGGAAAGAGGAGCACACAAGATGAGATTAGTGAACAATAGCTGTACTAATAACTAAAACATAATCTGTAACTCTAGCATCAATAACAAGTATACAATCTCTATCTTGAAAATAATAATAAATATTCTAGTGCAAGCAATGTGTATGTTAGCATCTGTACATGTTAGCAGTAGTATGTTTACATTAGCAGCAGTATGTTTACATCTGTGCATAAGCAGCATGAGGCTCTGAGACTCAGGGACTCGGTAAAGTGACAGTGACATGTGGTTATTGCACCTTCTGATATAAGTTAAGGATATTGCAACGATGCATGACTCGTGGGATCAAGTTGGCAGTGTTCATTGGAGCACATCCGACTCCCCACTCTGTGACAGATAACACATTCATCTTAACAAACTTCAAGTTTATCTTCTTTGTTCTTGTATGTATTATATTAACAGATGTTAATATAATATTGTGAGAAAAAACTTATATTATTTTTATTTTCAGATTATTTATTATGTTATTTTTCATGTGAAATACTGTGCGAGCTACTGTGACAACGCAATTTCCCTTGTGGATCAATAAAGTCTAAGTCTAATTTACATGGTCAATTTGGTTTTACAAGGTAATTTGCTCGTTCAGATTTTATGTATTTTAAACTTTTACAGTATAAGTTAATTCTATTGTAGAATGCTTTGAAAATAAATTGGTATTTATAATGTTAAAACTTTTTTACGATGCAACACATTTGTCTAATAAAGCTACTATTGCATTTCTTTTAAAACATTTTTAATGAATCAATAAATACATGTAGGCATCGCACTGAATAAGAATTAATGATTACTTCTGCTCAAAAAACAAATGGTTTAGGAACTGCCTTAACAGCACAAATAAATTATTGTAGATTATATATAAAGACTGTCCATCAGGCTCCTGTACACTGTCCATCATGCTGCTGTATTTCTGTTTGGTGCTTGTGCAGGTGATGGGGTTGTGCATTGGCGAGCTGGAGGCCACCCGTGTGGTGCACATACACTCTGTGATCATCCTGCGGCGCTCAGACAAACGGAAGGACCGTGTGGAGATCTCCCCAGAGCAGCTGTCTGCAGCCAGCACAGAGGCAGAGCGGCTGGCTGATAGCACGGGCCGGCCCATGAGGGTAGTGGGCTGGTATCACTCCCACCCCCACATCACCGTGTGGCCCTCGCATGTAGACGTGCGCACACAGGTACACTGTATGCCCACGCTTTGTTTACTTACTATGCTGCTTGTATTTGGTGGTCTAATGAGGTCATTACAATTACAATTGTACTTTTGTTGTCAGAATCCTGTCAGAAGTGTGTAGCTGTTAGGCACTCATTACTGATTCAAACCACCTGCTGGGGTTTAGCTAGAAACTCTGCCAAGTCTGTGTAATATGTATGCCAACTTTTTTGTATCCGATTTCCTTTAAAGGTACAATCAGTAGTTTTTACAGTTGCTCCAAATGTTAACAACCACAGACGTGACCTATCTAAGAATATTCACCTCCACCATATTTTGAATTGTTGTTATAGACTAAGAATTTGACCTATAAATGTACATGAGCGCTCCATGTCAACGCTCCATCTTGTAACACATTGGGTGACAAAAAGGAGGATCACGTTTTCATTTCAGAGGTACTAATATTGTCGCTTCCACTTTTCCCAGACAAGTTTGAAAAATGATTATGTAAAAATATTTAAATCAGCGTCATAACAGCGAATGTGTCAACATTGCAATCCACACGCAGCAAAAGGCATATGCTGTAGTTTGTGCACAACATGTGCACACGGGAACAATACGTAACTTTGCACGATGCAGAATCTGCAGGACACCCGTCCTCAGTCCTCCCGCGGCTCTGTACAACCATGTCCAAGGGGCACTGTCTTGGCCCTGGCTCCTCTGGTCATGTTCTGGTCATGTTCTGGTCGTGTTCTGGTTATCCTCCACGCGTCTCTTCTTGTCACACCTCGTTTGTAAAACTTCATTGCAAGTCTCTGTGCAGTGCATGGGAGCCTTTTCAGAAAAGCAAATGAGAGCCTGCTTAAAATCGTAAAATTAAATATTATTGAATATTATCATAATCGTTTCTAAGAAGATCCTTTATTTGTCCCTCAGTGGGGAAATTTCAGTTTGATGAATACACATATACACATTAAGGCATGCAGCAAACATTACTTCCACGCTCCTTACAGGCAAAGTGGGTTAAGTGTCTTTCCCAAGGAAACAACAACAGGCCCCACAGTGGGCTCGAACCCACAACCTTCAGGCTCAAAGGCCAATGCTCTACCAACTGAGTCACTGTTGCCCTTTCCATTTATTCTATCAATTAAGAATAACTCCAGTTTAAACCAAAGTTACACTGGAGTTACAGTAAATGTCAAATATAATTTGTACAAATGACCTGTCATTTGAGGACATGTCAGATAAATAGATGTTATCTGGAAATTATTACATAGAGCCCCTTTAACCAAATTTCAACTAGAAAAATACCCTAGCCAGGTTTGTAACAATCTGACAAGGAGTTGTGCTCTTGAATTCAGCCTTGTTGACACATCTTTTGTGTGTGTATGTGTGTGTGTGCGCGTGCGCGCATGTCTGGTCCATGTAGGCCATGTACCAGATGCTGGACCAGGGTTTTGTGGGGCTCATCTTTTCCTGCTTCATTGAGGATAAAAACACACGCACAGGCCGTGTGCTCTACACCTGCTTCCAGTCCACAGCCAAAGGCTCTGACTTCGAGCGGCTGGAGATCCCCATCCACGTGCTGCCCAGGGAGGCCATAAGCAAGGTATGTCTTGTCCCAGGGAGGCCACAAGTCTTCTCTATGAAGACGTTCTCCGGGGAATTACTTGAACTTTGTGTTGGACACATGTATTAAATATGCATACTCGCTGACCATATAATTATTATTTATTTTGTTTTTCGTTTATCTTCAACCAGTGAAAGACTGAAAAAAACTTTTGATTGGAAAAACGCCTATACATTTTGAAAAGAAAGAATTTAGCTATTACTCATTCTATGTAGAATACCATGACGTTTAATACAATTCTGTTGTTAATGTTGTGCCCCACATCTTAAATTCTCGTGTCACGCCTCCAAAATGCTGAGCATTTCTCTATGAGCGTATCGTCAGTACTATTGAAACTGCACTGCGGCTTCCTGAAGAGGCACTGGGAGGCTGTTTTTAAGGCTGTAGTATGTCGTAGAAATAGGAGGAGCCTAAAGCACAGTGGCTTTCAATAATAGTACACATAATTTAAAAGCAATGCCACTGTGATAATTATGTTCTACTTTAAAGGAGGATATAAGTACAGGGGCTCTCTGCACTTGCACACAGTATGATTTAATGAGTACTTTTATCTGACAAATTGGTTTTTGGGCAAGAAAGTTCTCAAAACTGGAGTAGGCGTGCAGTCTATGGAAGCAGTGGGCGGTGTGTGTTTGTGCCTCCCTCTTGATGTTTTCAGATGACCAATCGCAGCCCTTGTCGTGGTGCCTTGATGTTTACGTTCTAGTTGGGCGACTCTGCCTATCTCAGTAGAAGCTCTCACATTATCCTGACATCAATTCCTCTTTTGATAATGTTCATTTTATTGAAAACCTTATTATTCAAAGGGATAAATTTGCCCTGCCACCCCATCCCTATTCATGAGCAACAATAGTTATTACTAATAGTGACAGATTGCTGGTCTATGTTCCTCAGGCCTGCCTGGACTCTGCCGTGGAGCTGCCCCGGATCCTGTGCCAGGAGGAGCAGGACACGTACAGGAAGATCCACGCCCTGTCCCATCTGGACCCTGTCACACGCATCCACAACGGCTCTGTCTTCACCAAGAATCTGTGCAGCCAGATGTCAGCTGTGAGCGGGCCCCTGCTGCAGTGGTTGGAGCACAGGCTGAGCCATAACCAGGTGTGCATTAGCCAGCTGCAGAGAGAGAAGGAAGCACTGAAGGAGGAGCTGGCCAACCTGTGACCACACAATACTGTTTTGACACTTGTGGAGCACTATTATAGATTTGAAGCTTTCATTGGAAAGCTCAAATAAAATATAAGAAATGACTGACTTCTTGTCTTACGTGGTTGTTCCCTCATCAAAAACCAATTGATTTTTTTATTTTTATTTAGCTCCATCCTGATTTGAAACACTGCTTTGGGTGTAGAGCAGATGGTTAGGATCATTAGTCTTCATTTATTCATCCCACAGTGAAGAAATGTCAGTGTTTCAGTAAAATTACACAGTGCCAATATTGGAGGTTAACTAATGACTACGCAGGGTGTAACTTACCACCTCTCCTGTTTCACCACTATAGAGAATTCTTCTTTAGACCTATACATGTTTGTCTTGATTTTCTGCTTGAATGATTCCACATTCTTTGAAATTCAACATGAAATGCTCTCTTTGTGGTCTCTGTATGGCATTGTTTCAAAGATTGAGGGTGTCAACAGGAAAGGTCTTTCCTACCGTATGTTTTATTACCGTACCTGGATTTTCCTCATGTCCATTTTTGTGTGTGATATTCAGACAATCTTTCCAATAATGTAATGTTCCAAATGGTTTGTTCAGACTCTTGATGTCTTTAAGCAAGTTCGATATGACATTTGAATTAACCTGTATACAGTATGTGTCACTATCATCTGTTTTTGATTTGTCATTTAACTTAAAAGCAGTCAGTAAAGTGCCCACTCTGTACTGACTGCATTAATAAAAATGTCCTTTTTTACACCATGGGAATTGTGTTGGGAATTTAAGCCCACAATAATGACTTAACCCCCTAAAGTAACTTATCCAACACTGCTGATTACATACAGTACAGACGTGGCCCGGCCTTAGCCATTCATAAACTCCGGTCAATTATCATTTCCCCATGTACGAAAGGAAATTAGTACAATGGTATGGTAAGATCAGGCTAATAGAGACGCCCTCTTCAAGAAGAGCCAGATGTAACCCTGCAGGACACTCTGGAGAGCAGCCAATAAAGGATCTCTTATCTTACAAATACTATCATTTTTGTTATTTTTTTTTGCCAGAATCGTTAGGTCTATAACGCATGTAGTTCCTAAACTCTGATTACAGATGGAAACCACCTGCTGGAGTTTAGCTAGAAACGGTAACGGAAAACTTTATTACTTATTTTTGTATCTGCATTACTTTATACAAATGTGTAATGCTATTTTTTGTGTGAATGTTGTTATCAAAAAATCTGCATAAAGATTGAGCCAAAACCAGTTCAATTACATGAAATAAAGCCGTTCTCTGATTGGATAATCTTGAAGACTGTCCATTTGTATTTTTTAAACACGATTTGTACCTGTGACCTATTATCACAAAAGATAAGGACACTAAAGATGTAGGTGTAATTTAAAATAAAAATATTACACAGTACATAAGATATTCCTTTATTCGTCTCACAGTGGTGAAATTTCAGTGTCATCGTTGCGCACATTACAGCAGAGAATAAGGAAATAAGAGCACTCAGATTGCACACATCAAATAGTCTATTATTTAAGATAATAGAAAATATAATTAAAATAAGATAAAGAATAAAATATAATAAACTCTGGTAATTGCACTTCATGAGTATTTACAGATGTGTATGTTGTTCTTAAGCAGCGGAGAATATGAGCAGAATAAGCATCAGTGATAATATCAACAGGTAAAGTGACTTTGACAGAAGTTTCAGATGGATAAGTAATGCAGTAATGCTAACTATAGACAAAGTGACAAGTGAAAGATAGAAATATCGGATGGATATTATTATTAATGACACATGTACAGACTCCGCAGTTCTTGTTATACATTCTCGTTGTACAGTCTGACAGCAGCAGGGAGGAAGGACCAGCGAAACCTCTCCTTCACACAGCGAGGGTGAATTAGTCTGTCACTGAAGCTGCTCTCCAGAGTGTCCTGCAGGGGGTCACATACATACGCTCCCTTTTATATTAAAAAAAAGTCCTCTCTTGAGTAACGTCTTCCATCATCACTGTATATTAGGATGAAGATAGCGTAAAGCTCACCGCACACCGAAACGCAGCGCCTCGCGGCGCGTCATTTGACGCGCGTTCATGACATGTGTCAAATTACACCGGAACGCCTTGGCTAGCGTCCTTTTCCAGCTGATCGCAGATGAAATGGGTGAGTGACGTTTGGAAGTTTCTACTAATATTTTGGGGGAGGAAACAAAGTATTTACGTGAAATTATGCTGGCAAATATTACAAGAAAAGACTATTTGGACCCATTTTTTAAACAGGCTAATATATTTAACCCACAGAATCCTTTTTATAAGGATATCGTGCGAAAGGAAATTGCCTGGAGAGCAATTTCACTTGAAATTGAATGTACAGGTAAGCTAACAATAGGTAATTGTAGCTATTTTATTAAAATATTAGTAGAAACTTCCAAACGTCACTCACCCATTTCATCTGCGATCAGCTGGAAAAGGACGCTAGCCAAGGCGTTCCGGTGTAATTTGACACATGTCATGAACGCGCGTCAAATGACGCGCCGCGAGGCGCTGCGTTTCGGTGTGCGGTGAGCTTCACAGTATTGTCCAGTTCCAGCCATGGTTGCAGCTTCCGACTCCTCACCAGTTGGTGGCGGTAAGGCGCACGTACGTTCTTTGCCTACAGCCAGTTTGTTTACTACAAGCAGCGGTGTTTTGCGACAGTCCGTAAAGCGCTCCCTGCTCCTGCTGCACGTGCATGTGTTGGATCTAATATTCGTGAACGTCTTCAAACAGCAGGGAGGTAAGATTGTAGTGCAGTGTCTTGACCATAGTTTATGTATGTATAAGAGTGTTTGCGCAGAAACATATGTAGCCACTGTCTGAGTTTCTTCTACCGGCAGTATTCAGACTCCTTTTCCACACTAGACCACTGTGATCATGATGTGATTCGTGTACCCCGCTGTTAATCTGACTTCACATAAAATCATTAAAGTTCCATGTGACTTCAGGGCTGTAATTAACGATTATTTTGATAATCGATTGTTTAGATAATAAACCTCAGTGAATATACTTGTCTAAAAAAAAACGGAGAATTTTTTACTACAATATTACTTGTTACACAGTGGGTTCTTTGATTAAAAGTACTTTGTAGATACATTTATATTTCATTTTGTATTCATGACCAGTTACAGAACAGTAGGAATGAGTAGCACACAGCACAAGAGAATAACTCTATATCAAAATACAATAACATTTAATATAATGCAATACTGTATATACTAGTGTATTCATTCTAGAAATATATAGTTGCATGTATACATCTATTCTGTACATGTTAGTCACTTATCCCATACCTTCATGCTGCTCAGTAAAGGTTACATATTTCACATTCTGACATTATTTCAAATGTGAGATCAAGTCGGCATTGTTCTCTAGTCCTCATTGTTCGTTGTACAGTCTGACCGCAGCAGGAAAGATTGACCTGCAGAACCTCTCCTTCACACAGCAAGGGTGGATCAGTCTGTCACTGAAACTGCTCTCGAGAGCAGACAGTGACAGTCATGGTCCAGCATAGATGTTAAGTGTGTCCAAGAGCCTCTTGTCCTCTACCCGCTGGACCGAGTTGGACTTCTCGACCTTATCTGTCTCAGAAATTCTCTTCTTAGCATGTTTGTTTGTGAAAGGTTCACAGAATCATATCAATGACTAAATTAAATCGAAATTTCCCCACAGTGGGACAAATAAAGGAATTCTTATCTTAGTTGACAATTATTTCAATAATCTATTAGTTTGATTAGATCACTCAAATAGCTTGTTACATAGTTTGTAGAATGTAAACATCCTGAAACATAACAGCGCTTGTCATTGAACACTATCGTTCAGACACTTAACATAACTCAAAGTAGTTCCACTAATTCATTTATAGAACATCAGAATAGAATATTAGTAACTTGTCCAACACTGGTTCTGATATGGGTCAAAATCTTCCTAAAACCTCTCATTTAGTCATTGAGTTTTTCATTTTTAGTGTTGATACTTGCTCAAATGAGTATCTAGTTTCATTTCTAGGTTTACTTAAATATCTGAATTTTCCTACTCTTTAGGAAAATGATATCTCTGATTGTTTTACAGAAGGATATGTAGAGCAACAATTGGAATTTACAGAAAATGAAATCACACGTGCAAAGGCTTTAAGATAACTTTGTCTTGCTCTCCTCAGAATGGAAGCCAAACCCAAAAAGAGCATTTCTTCCAAGGCTGGAAAGGCTCCTGCTCTCAAAGGAAAAGGTGAGATGGGCTTTTTGTCTTGATTGCATTTTCTATTAAAACTAAATTAGAGCGGTATATTCATGTAGACGCTGTTTACACAGGTCTACAGATAATGTGCTGACATCAACTTCATGCTAACTGAGGCTAGTTCAGAATTATTATGTGAAGGCTACACACAGTCATAGTTTGGTACATGACAAATGTGATTATTGGGTTTATTGTTTACATAAAAAATGCTGCAAACTTGTAAAATGTTCTACAGTGTACATGTTATAGATAAATCAAAATGTATATATAGTATAGCACCGCAAAGTCAACAACAAACCCAGAGATGCTTATTATGTCTATCTATAATCGCATAATCTATAATCGCATAATCTATAATCGCATAATCTATAATTGCGTGGATCTGCGATGATGATGGTGCAGTTGGATACATTCGAATAATGTTTGCTGGGATATATCAATCTTCATCTTAACTACTAGCTATGATCTCCATGGAAGCTTGTATTGGTTTATGCACATCATTGATACACACAGTACCTTTTTGTAGATTCCCTCAGAACAAAGATGAGTGTCTCAGCTGGAGTAAAAAGGCCCTTTAAAAAACCCTTCAAGAACACAGAGGCCCTTGGGAAAAGAGGAGAGAAGCGCCCTGCACACAAGTTCTCCAAACATGACAAAGGAGTGAAGAGGAGGAAGGACGCTGATGGAGGAGATGGGGGTAAGGAAATTTCAGTCTATATAAGATGGCACTTTATATAAAAATCTGCTAACCAGGGAATAAAATAATATAATATATATATATATATATATATATATATATATATAATCTATCCATATCTATATCTATATCTATGTCTATCCATATCCATATCCGTTGACTGGAGGCCAGGTTATCTGGCCCAGCACCCACCACTTTCCTAATTGGTCAAATAGCCCTTACACAGCCTGAGTGTGAATCTAAAGTCAATAGTTATGAAAAGAAAGGAGACTCTGTGTGTGGGTGTGGGTTTGCTTTACAGTCGCCCCACTTCCTACTCCATGCTTTCCATGAGAAAACAAAGTAATAATGGTTAAAAGCATAGACTTTGTCAACAGAATTTGTCTGTTGAGCTGCAACATAATTGGTGTCTGTATGACAGGTCCGGTGTCTAAAAAGTGGAAAAGTGCTAAATTGGAGCCGAAAAAACGCTTGTCGAAAGAGGAGCTGAAGGCCACACGGCAGCAGAGGAAGAAGGACGTGAAGAAGAACAGACAGCAGGCTGAGAGGAAGGACATGTTCGACATTATCTGCCAGAGCAAACAGATCTGGGGTCAGCTGCGCAGGTCAGGACATCTCCCAACACTAGCATTCATATAAAGTCATTCTCTCAAACCAGTCATACAAGAGGAACCGGATCTGAATTTCCAGCCTTTTTCAATGCCTGCTTTTTTGAAAAATAAACTCAATGTATCTTGCATAAATGCTCTGACTGATAAAGGTAAGTTTCAGAAAAGAGAAGCTCCAACGGTGCATATTTCTTAGAGTAATAATCTCTTTCATAAAAAATTATAGGTGGGATTTGATTAAAAAGAAGCCACTTTTTGCTTGGATTATCTCCAGAAAAGAGGAACGTAGAAACCGTTAAACAGGTTGAAATCTCTTTTTCATTTTGCAAAGTGTGGCAAAACTGCATCTTGTTGTCTCCGGGTCCTGCCCCATCTGTTTTTCCATGTCTAAAGCAAAGCTCTTTGTGCACACAGGAAAAAAGTGGACGAGCCGACAAAGAAAAAACTAATGAAAGAGCTTCACAAGCTGATCCGGGGAAAATGCCAACAGGTTAATCACATAATTTTGTGTTCTCACTACTTGCTAACCCTACACCTGAGATGGTTTATCAAAAAATAACAAATTAAACGCAATAAAGTATTGTTATTGTTATGCATGTTGTATGAAAGGGTGCGTGTGTTTGCAGATGGCCTATGCTCACGACTCTGTTCGCGTCCTGCAGTGCTTCATTCAGTTTGGTAACCACGAGCAGCGGAAGGATGTCTTTGAAGAGCTCAAAGGTTAGACTCATGCAGTTAACTGGACTTCACACTTTGCTACCTACCCCATGCAATAGATTTACAATTAACTGGTCAAATTGTTAACTTAATTTGAAATCCATAGTAGTGATTATTAGTCAGAGGATTGTGCCATATGGCCTGAGAGCAACTTGCCTGAGTCTTTGTTCACTTCTGAGCTGATCCCTTTTTGTAACAGTTTTGATTTTACAACACACTTTCTGGCAGGAAAATAATCTTTTCTTTCATTCTACAGAGGACATGGTAGCTCTGTGTAAGTCCCAGTACGGTCGGCACGTAGTGAAGAAGCTGCTCATGTATGGGTGAGTGTCTGTATTCTCATCTATAATAAATAGTTTGAATGGTTCTGTCAGGATATGGCTGCACATGAACACAACGATCACAAAACGCACAGGGGGTGACACAACATGCACGTACAGTGTGACTGTGCACACATACAGACGCACATTATGATAATCTGTAACGAGAACAAACTAAACAGCAACTGAAGCTAATGGATTTTCATGTGGAACAAGGCAGCGAGTCACTGAGCTGACAGGTGAAAGCATCAAGTCTCTCACAGGTGGATCAATGATACAGGCTACAATCAGGCCTATGAAAGAAACTGTCATATTTAAAACAAATCAATGGTTCCTGGCTCTATAACTCTATATAACTAGTTTTTTAATTAGTCTTCGGTCACATCTTTTAGATCAGCTTTTCAGACATAATTGTGAAAAGTGAACCACTCAGACAATCAGCTCTCACCGCAAAGAGACAAATAGTAACTCACAAGGCTCACGTTTTCTAAGATGAAGAGTGCATTTTGTGGTCTGATTTGTTCACAAGATTTTACTTTGACACAACCCATTATGTTTGGGATTAAACAACTTCCAGTTTGTATAAGAAGTTACGTTCCCCCAGCTTAAAGCTCGGCCTACCCCCGATAATATTCTGTGGAGCTGGTGTCTCATTGCTGATCACAGTCCTGATGTCCGCGGCAGAACGAGACGTGTCTTTGCCTCTATTTTTGGTGCTCGGGTCTCGCCGCAAGCAGATCAAACCCCGTCCTGTTGGTCCTGTTGTCTGTGGCGGATTCAGTTCATGACGGCATGTACTGGGAATGGTTTCTCATCACGGAGAAAACGAGTCCTGATCAAAGTCAATACCAGAACTAATACGTTTTGTTAACGCTCTGTGTTTAGTTTCAAAAACATTAAACCTTATTTTATTCGCTGATGACACCAACATGCTTAGTTGTGGTAAGAATTTAGAAGCATTGATAGATATAGTAGAGAAAGAATTATTATTGTTAAAGAAGTGGTTTGATTCTAATAAGTTAACCCTTAATTTAAATAAAACCAAATTTATAGTTTTTGGAAATCGTGCCATTAATGTGTGTAGAAATTTAAGAATAAATGATACTGAGATAGAACGAGTGAATGAAATATAATTTCTTGGAGAACTTTTACAAAATAAGCTTAGCTGGAAGCCCCATATAAACTACATTAAGGCAAAGCTATGTAAATCTCTTGCAATAATATCTAAAGTTAAAGAACTCTTAAATGAAAACAACTTATATATGTTATACTGTTCCCTGGTTCTCCCGTACATGACCTATGGCCTAGAAGTTTGGGGAAACACTTACAAAACCAATCTTAATCCAATAAGTATCATCCAAAAAAGAGCGATCCGCATTGTGAATAAAGTGGCTTACAGGGCACATACAAATGAGCTTTTCATCAAACTAAAAGCACTAAAATTGAAGGATTTGGTTGAGTTTAAAACAGCACAATTTATGTATAACATAAGCTATAACAAGTTACCTGTGCATATCCAGGGATTGTTCCAAAAACGAGACTGCGTTTACAATTTCCGAAAGGAAGAAATGTTTCAAAAAACATGTGAGAACGAATGCAAAGCAGCATTGTCTTTCTTTTGTTGGGATTAATGTGTGGAGTGAGTTGGACCAAGAGCTAAAAGATTGTAAAACCTTAATTCAATTTAAATTTTTTTTGAAGAAATCAATTATAAAAAAATACATTGAGAATGGACGCTAAGGATGCAAACTTAAGATGATATTGTTTTTCTTTCTTCTTTGTGACGATCTAAAAACAAAAATTGTATAACTACTTGCATAAGACATTGGCAGCTTTACTGTTTATGTTTTGTAAATACTCTGGGATAGGCGCAATAAGCTTTAGCTTCTGCCTATTCCATTTCAGACTTTATGTTTATTTATCATCTGTTTGGCATCTGTTGAATGTTTGAATGTCTGAATAAAATAATCTGAATCTGAATCTGAATCTCATCACCACACCACTTTTTGTTTTTCACAGTCCAGTGTTAAGGAAACTGCCTTAGCTAGAAAGCACTGAGGGTATTTAGTAGTTGTAGTGGCAATTTTTATTCTTTGCTCCCAATACCGACATTTTCATCTGGGCAATTCCTTCATTACAAGGTATCTTGCTGATACCAATCTTATTTTATTATTGCCCTGCAGAGCAGAGGCAGTAGGCAGGTGTAAATGCAAGGTTATGTTGAAGTTTTGAATTTGTTCATGACATACTCTCGTTATTGTATGTGTGAATGAGCTGTCACTTTGGTCTAGGAACAAGGAGGTGGTGGCGTCTGTGATACAGTCACTCAAAGGTCACGTGAAGAACATGCTGCGACATGCTGCTGCCTCCTCTATCATTGAGTACGCCTACAACGACAAGGCCGTGCTGTCCCAGAGGCTCATGCTGACGGAGGAGCTGTATGGGAACACCTTCACTTTATGTCGGGTGAGTTTGTGCGTCAGTCCCACTTGCCTCTAAGGTTTGGGGATGATGTGACTAACCGTACCCTGCTAAATGGGGATAGGCCAAAATATTTCAATACATTATTTTGTGTCAAACTCAAAGTATCAATATGTTAATCAAATAAGTCTCTGTTCAAATGAATGGAGCTGCGCCGGCCTACGCATGTGCAGATGCGTTTTTTCACCGTTTTCTTGTGGGCGGGACCACTCGCGGGCATTTTGGATTGCTCCAGTAGAGCAAATTTTTTGGCCCATTAGTTAGAACGGCGGAGATAGGCGTGACTCTGTCCGTTAATATATACTGTCTATGGCATTAACCCACTGATGGGTCTGATTTGTGAATGGGAGTCAATGGAAATCAATATCCAGATTGGATGGAAGACTCAGTATTGACTGCCATACAGCTACATATTATACCTCATTTTAAAGCAAATTTTCTGTAAAAGGAAAACAAAACAAAAAATCTAATTTGAACCCAGCACATAATTATAGCTAAATAGTATAACAACATTTTTTTTCATCTTTGGTTCAGTGTTTGTTTAATCCGAACAAACAGTAACTGAACACTTTTTCTTCAGAAAAATCCACCAGATAACATTATCCAAACTCTTAACTTTAAGCAAATAATCTTAACAAAAAACAACTATTCTATTTATATTTTCCCCGCGACCATAATCCGTTTGACACCCCCTGACCCTAGACCAACCAAGATAATGTTTTGGAGGCTCGCTTTGATAATGCTATATTTATCCTACGCTAGAACTCCTCCCCTCAACAATTTCACTTCACAGGCTTTGGCAAGACATTTCCACCACTGCCCGATGAGTGTGTGTAGTATGTAGTGGTAATCATTGCGCCGTGGTGGAGTGAATGATTTAATACAATGTAGATGCCCGCGCCTTCCTTCTGTGGCATTATAACACTATTATACACAGTGGTTAGTCTATGGAGGTAAATGAAGTCTGTTCAGTCCTCAGTCTGCAACACCATCGACAAAGTGCTGGAGGCCAATGTAGCCAAAGTGGACAGCATCCTGGATGAGATGAAGAAGATCCTCACGCCTATGGCCCAGAAGTATGTTTCTCACAACCCTGTATTTTTTTTGTATAGTTAGGAATGTAAAAATTTCATAAAAACTATTTGTATTAAAAGTTGACTCAAACTGCTGTTCCAACGCTCAATGTCTTTTAGTTTGCACTTGCACTAGGATGTGACATTGCTTTGATGGAATTTTATCATATGGCTGATTTTGTTTTGAACTGTAAAGCACTAAGCATAAAAAGTTTTCATTGGCGATTGATGGGTAAATGCATGTTTAAAACCATATACATTTTATCGAGAGTTTGCGCTCTCAACAATACAGAACTCTCCAATATATATTTTTAGTTTAAGACCTTGATAATTCTCCCTATTTCTCCCCATGCCCAGGCAGTTATCTTAAAGTTCCTGCATTAAGTTTGTAATCTCTGCGTTATTTCAGGGAGCAGGTAATCAAGCATTCACTGGTCCACAAAGTGTTCTTGGACTTTTTCCAGTTTGCTCCTGAAAAGCAGCGGACGGTGAGTAGGCCTGTAGCGAGTCCTTGGGTGGTCTGGTGCAGGGTCATGTGACTGAAAGGGCTGTGTTCGTGTGTGCAGGAAATGATCGAGTCCATCCGCGAGGCTGTGGTCTACATGGCCCACACTCATGACGGAGCACGCGTCGCCATGAGCTGTGTTTGGCACGGTACGGCAAAGGTCAGTAAGGCATGCCCCCGCTCTCAGTCTTCAAACTACTTGAGAATCTGCCTTTGAGTTTATGGCTAAAGCAACAGACGGATATGTGGCTGCCCTTTGAATACGGAAGTGCTCTTTGTTTAAACATCTTTTCAAATCCTAGTTTTCTAATTGTCATTGTTAAAGTAGTACTAGAATTTAATATGCTGCTATCCAGAATATATAACTACAATATGTATTTATAATATTTTGGGTGTTCATTATGATATGATGAATTATGTTAAAAAAACAGCTTTGAAGTCGGACCTTTTCACAAACGCTAGGGGGAGCCAAAATGGCGTCGATGACGTAGGAGAATGACCTCTCACAGCAGCAGCAGCAGTCTTAGCTGGAAACTGTAGGAGGTTTCACTGTATCTGAACAAGGTATAAACATATTTTCATCCGTTTTGTACATAATAGTGTGCAACTCTTTTAACCTTTTAGCCTTATTTGTGAGATTCAAGCTAATTAGTGTTGGGCAAGTTAGCATGTTTTATGATATCAAGTAGAGTTAGCTAACAAAGCTAATATTCGTTTTTACATTATGCCAGTCTCACTTTGGTTGCCTTAGATTTATTTACCACAATGTACATTGTAATATCCATAAATGCTAATCAAAATAACTTGAATTAAATAAATATTTTACTTTTATGAACAAAAAGCTGCAGAAGTTGAAAACATAGACTACATGTGATGCAATCATTGATAAAAATGCGAATTAAACCGTTAATAGGTGTTAGCATTTTTGAATATTACAATGTACATTGTGGTAAATAAATCTAAGGCAACCACAGTGAGACTGGCATAATGTAAAAACGAATATTAGCTTGAATCTCACAAATAAGGCTAAAAGGTTAAAAGAGTTGCACACTATTATGTACAAAACGGATGAAAATATGTTTATACCTTGTTCAGATGACAGTGAAACCTCCTACAGATTCAGCCCAGACTGCTGTCTGCTGCTGTGAGATACCCTTCTCCTACGTCATCGCCGCCATTTTGGCTCCCCCTAGCGTTTCTATGCGGAAGTGAAAAGGTGCCACTTCAAAGCAGTTTTTTTTTTACATAATTCATCTGAACATGTCAAAATGAACACCCGAAATATTATAAACACATATTGTAGTTATATATTCTGGAGAGCAGCATATTAAATTCTAGTACTACTTTAAATTCTCACTTTTACCCCCCCAAAACAAACCATGAATTACATTAGCTACTACTGAACGGAAATGTATTTGTGTAGAAGTGATTTAAAAGTTAGTTTATTTGTGGATCATTTAAAATATGCGTGGCAAAAGGACCTGGGGGTTAACATTACAGAAAACCAATGAATTAAAGCCCAAGAAAATGGGCTTCTGTTTGTATCCGTCATGGTTCCCTCTGTGGATCCACTGTGTGACAGGTGTAAGCAGCAACCGGGGAAAATTGGAAATATTTCATACAACATGGCAACCTTTTTATTGATTTTTTTGACTCGTATGTATAACATTTTGGCTGAGGCGGAAGCAGTTTTTTGTTTACTTTGTTTTGTCTGTTCTTAAAAAAACATTAGGATTAATGGTAATTCATTTCTAAATGTGTATAATATTGTACTATTACGTGCTTGTTTTATTGGAAAAAACTCAGCACAGTTCAAAACACAAAAGCAACTCAAAGTGATTAACACAACTAGGGATGTAAATCGGTGACCGTTTAACCGGTGGTTGACCGTCACAGCGTTAACCGGTCAAAGCTGTCGGTTAAAAATAAGAGAAAGCGGAGAGGGGAGGTCTCTTAATAACGCTATTTGTACGATGTGACGAGCGGGTCCGTATCTAGCTGTGTGCGCCAATGCATTAGTAGACTACGGGCGACTTTCATGGCGCACGCAGACACGCGCGCGCGCACACACACACACACACACATACACACACAAACACTTTCCCCCCCTCCATACGTAACATCCACACGCATCATCTCTCCCCTCTGTTACCGCCAAAGTTCCACACTAGTGCAGGTCAGAACTACATTGGAGCTTATATTTACACACACATACATACATGTATTGTACACACACACATACCGGGCTGTCGCGCACCTCTGTGTCTCGCAGCCCAAATAATCCTCGCAAATACGCGGCCCCAGTCAAACACATGAAACATGTTTGTGCTGCTGGTCCTTGTCATTAGATCAGCTCCACACACATCACTTTTAAACTTTAGCGGAGACCTGCGAGACGCGGGGTGTAACTCGCTGCTCTGACCATGTGAACAAGCCGTCTTTTGCTTAAAAAGGCTTTAACCCGCAGCACAGTATGGGAAGATTAAAAAAGCAGTTCTCTGTGCGCAAAGGTGCCGAAGCTGTTGCGGGTTTTGGCGCCGCTGTCTCAGCTCTGATCTAGGAGAACGCATAGATAAACTTATGAAAAGTACGCGGCTCGAAATGGCTGCTATTTCAAAGAACGTGGAATATTTTAAACTACGCGGTTAACCGGTTTCAACCGGTTAATGAGGCTCGGTGGTCGGTCATGAAAATGCATAGTTTTTTACATCCCTAAACACAACAAGATAGAAACAAACATACAAGGCATTATAATAATAATCACAGTACATTAAAAGAGTGTCGCTTAAGGTTAGCATTAGATGATTTTTATTGAAGCGTGTCTCACATTTTCAAGAAGACTTCCCGGTTTTAGCTGCTTAAAGTAATCCCAGACTTAAGATTAATTTGCTCCATGGTGGAGAAATGTCAGACAAGGCAGAATGAATAATGAAGCACACAAAGGATATCAAGTATATGATTAGACTGACCCCTGTCTCTTCCCCAGGACAGGAAAGTCATCATTAAAACCATGAAGACCTACATGGTGAAGTTTGCCACGGTGAGCCCCCCCCTCTCAAAGCCCCCCATTTCCTCTCCCTGCTGCTCTAACCTGTAGTGTGGGTGTTTTCAGGGGGAGTTTGCTCACCTGCTCCTGCTCTCCATCTTTGACTGTGTGGACGACACCAAACTGGTCAAACAAGCAGTGCTGTCGGTGAGTCGGCACATAGTGTTTTTTTTTTTATCTGGGGAAGTGGTTCATTGCCTCAGTAGTGCCTGTGCTCCTCCCCTGTAATTCTCCTGTACTGTGTATTACGGATGTAAATTGGTGACCGTTTAACCGGTGGTTGACCGTCACAGCATTAACCGGTCAAAGCTGTCGGTTAAAAAAAAGAAAAGGGGGAGGAGGAGGTCTCTTCTTAACGTTATTTTAAGCCCTATTTGCACGGTGTGGCGAGCGGGTCTGTCTCTAGCTGTGTGCGGCAATGTATCAGTAAACTCCGGGCCGACTCTCACGCCGCACGCGCCACATGCACACACACACACACTTCCCCCCTCCATTGTTACGTAACATCCACACGCATCATCTCTCCCCTCTGTCCGCCAAAGTTGCACACTAGCGTGGGTTAGAACTACATTGGAGCTTACATTTACACACACATACATATACACACACACACACATGTATTGTACACACATACATGTCCACACATACATGTATTTTTGTACACACACACACCGGTCTGTCACGCTCCTCTGTGTCACGCAGCCCAAAGTATTCAAATACGCGGCTCCAGTCAAATGACATGGAACATGTTTGTGTGTATGGTCCTTGGCATCAGATCAGCTCCACACTCATCACTTTTAAGCTTTAGCGGAGACCTGTGAGATGCGGCTCGTCACTCGCTGCTCTGACCATGTGAACGAGCCGTTGTTTGCTGCTAAAAAGTTATACGCAGCACAGCAGAATGGAAAGATTAAAAAAGCAGTTCTTTGTGCGCAAAGGTGACGAAGCTCTTGCGAGTTTTGGCGCCGCTGTCTCGGCTCTAATCCAGTAGAACGCCGAACTGCACTTATGAGAAGTACGTGGCTCGACATGGCTGTTATTTCAAAGAACTTAGAATATTTTTAACAACGCGGTTAACCGGTTTCAACCGGTTAATGAGGCTCGGTGGTCGGTCATGAAAATTCATAGTTTTTCTCTCACTTTTGAACCAAAAAACGTCTGTGTGGCGCCCTCTCAACCTTTTTTGCTGGTACTACATTTGAATTTGGTTCTGGCCTCTTCATTGACTCTGAAATTCTCTTGACGGAATAAGGCTGGTCACAGGTGTTTAGTCGCTCTTTAAATAGTAATCATAAGTCATTGGACACATGGTCTGTGTGCTGTCTGCAGGAGCTTCTGGCTTCACTAAATGACGTCCTGGGGAACAAATACGGCAAGAAGGTGATGGCCTATCTGCTGAACCCACGTGATCCGGCCCACCTGCTGCCCGAGACCATCCAACTACTGCAGAAGGGGGACGGCAACCAGCACAGGTGAGCCAGCACACACGCTGGGCTTCTACAACATGACGTACAAAAGAGTTCAAATGACGGATTCTAGAAAGTAAGAAAACTCTTTTGGTAAAACTCTTGTTCAAGCATTCAACAACATTAATGGACGTTGTTGATCAATGTCCATTAATGTTGTTGAATTTGCCCCTTTTGGACCGATAACAATGTGTTCTATTTCATGTGTTTAAACTGTTTGATTCCCTGATCGGTGCTGGCGAATTCAACATCTGTGTTAAGTCCTCCGATATAACTACTGTTGTGATTTAGGGCTATACAAGAATACATTGAATTGAACTAACCAAAAATATTGTGCGTTACGTTTTGCAGTAAAAAGGAGGCGAGTGTCCGGAGGCGCGAGTTGCTTGAGGCAGTGTCCCCAGCCCTTCTGCAGCACCTGTGTGAGAATGCCTTTGCCATGGCAACAGACAAATCCAGCTGTGTGACAGTCAGCGACATCCTGGCATCTGCCTGTGGAGACCTGCAGCCTGCCATGACCGCTGTAGCCCAGCTCGCCAACCAGAAGCTGCAGCCAGGAGGAACCAAGGGAGTGGTGAGTAGGAGGACCAAGGGAGAGGGAGTACAAGAGATTAAAGGAGTGGTGGTGAGGAGGACGACGACAATGGAAGAGGGAGAAGAAGAGATGAAGGGAGTGATGAGGAGGAATTGTGCCACAACACACATATGAATCATAATATTACAGGCATTTTAGACAAACTCACACTAACACAAATGTCATGATGCTGATTAAATGTTATGTCTGATGATAAATTAGTCATATTTAAAAATCTATTTCCTTTATTCTTATCTAGATCTTGAGTATTGACTGATTTGTCAAACTGACAGGACTTGTTGTTTGCAGCTGCACCTGGCGGAGCACCCAGCCGGACACCTGCTGCTCAAGTGGCTTTTGGAGCAGGACCTGACGCTGGCTGAGGCGGGGAAGCCAGGTACACTGGAAAACACTTTTTTGGATTCCGTAACTGTTACATTCTTGCACACATTTCTGGCCTCTGTGTCCCATTTGTCACCAAGGAAAATGTAGTAATTTGGTAAAGCTCTGTTTCATTAGGATTAGATAATGCTTATAATGCATATTTATATAGCACCCCACACACAGATGGATGGAAACACGACATACAAACACAGCTTGATCTTTTATTCTATATATAATATTTTTTCATGTCCCTAGTTTTAAAATCCAATCCTGGAGAAAGCGGATAGCTGCGCGTCTTCTCAGCTCCAGTGTTTATCAGCTGTTATCACATGGTTACATAGATCAGCACTAGATGATCTAAACGTTGCATGTAGATTCACCCGGGGTCAATCTTGTTCACCAGCATATCGTCAGTGCCGCCTGTAGAGGGCAGCACTGTCCTGCGCTGCCTCACAACCGGTCCCAACGAGCAACGGACATTGCATAAACTTTTGGATTTGTAGAAAAGATCTCACACTTAACAGAAGAAGGGCTCAAGAAATACATTGCAGATTACATAGCACGTGATTTAATAAATCTATATTGTTTAAAGTAGTTTGAGTTGCTTCCTAACTTGAACATTGCACAGTGTTCCTGACATAAATTTGACTTTAATCAGTGTATATGCTGTCTATATTTATAAATATAAGCAAATTTAATGCATACAAAAATGATGATAATCATGAGTGTTTACAATATCATTCAGCCTCTCCACGATATTGTAATGATGATTGTACTGTAAAATCAACATTGATATATATGGGACTAACCAGTCCCCAACAGGCTGAAGTCGGTTGCAGGTTTTAGTTCCAACCTCAGTAGGAGGACACCAAACTCTGGTGAAGTCTGGTGTGTTACTTCTTGGTTGGAACTAAAACCATCAGCCACTTTGGCCCTTTCTGCAACCAGTTTGACACTCTTGTTGTATGATAGATGAAACACTATCCAAATCTCACTGAGTGTTCCCTGTCTGTGTCCAGAGCGCTTCAGTCGGATCCTGGTGGACACCGTGGGGACAGACAGGCTGTGCACGTGGGCCAGAGTCAACCGTGGAGCCATGGTGCTGAGCGGGTGAGCCTCACTACACGCCCCTGTGTAAAGACTGTTTACCAGACTGTCATGACTCTGGACTAACCTGAATATGCAGAAACTTTCACATGTTTCAAAAGTCAAACTTATTTGTTCGGGGCGTCTGTATGAGCTGATCCAGCTCTCTGGCACCCCGTTCAGTTGATGTGCATCATTGTGTAATTTTATTTTGTATATTGCAAACATCTTTCGCTCTGGTCAAAATTGTTGTTTTTAAAGCACTTTATGAAAACTACCCAAGACGGTAATTCCTTTTTTTATTGAACTTAATTGCATTTTGTGTTGAATGTCTGCAATAAATATTTAATGTTAAGCGTTCTCACCAGTATTTTCTCAAAGCATCAGGGCGCCCAACTTTAAGAATTCAGATTATACTGAGAAATTAAACACTGAAAAATAATTACAAATAAGACATTCACCATCTGTATTGCAGCCAATTGGGCTTCTTAAATAAAATCCTTTTAATTAGGACTTCTTGTGCCTGGATTGTTTTCAGTAGGCTTTTTCAAACTTGATACTAGTACTTTAATTTGATTACTTGCCAAAACTGATACGAGTATTGCATATCCCTGGGAATTTATTTTAAAAAAATACAACTGAAATTGAAAACGTTTTATTTATAGTTTCAACAATAAGAAAGTACTTTAACAATTGTTTTAACAGTCAACAATACGAGCCACTGTGCCATTCCACTCAAATGCTATGTTGTAGAGTTGGTTGTTTTTGTGTTCTGGTGCTAGCAAAGGTGTTATACTCTGCATGGTGCTGAGTTCAGATGTTTGATCAAGTTGCTGGTGTCAAACGTGTTTGTTTGGCAAACCATGGCAACACGTGCCGCAAATCTGTCTGCTGTCGTGAAACTTGAACGTAAATCAAAAATCGGTGGCTGGCATCGGGTCCTATGGTATCGACCTGATAACTAGGAATGCATCAATCCCAATACTGTTTTCAGGTTTTGAGACTCATCCTATTGTTGTAAGAGCACCGTTGCCAAGATAGCAGTGATTATTATAATACATGCAGAAAGGGCAACTTTCCTGTTTATTTCTCTTGTGTAATACTTGTGTTGTCGTTGCAGCCTGTTGAGCAGCTGTGAGCAGTCGGTGGTGGAGGAGGTGAAGGCAGCCCTTGTGCTTCTCAGGCCTGAGCTGCAGCGGAGCACTGAAACTAACCAGGGAGCACAGATCCTGCTGCAGAAGCTCAGCTAGGGCCCAGAGCACTGAGCCAGGCTCGTGGAGCTCCAGAGCACCACCACACCCAACGCTCACTGGGAGAGGTGGTGCCATGGAACTGTGGACTCTTGTACAGAGCGGTGTATGCTGCAGCCGCTGCACCCAGGCACTCCCAATTTTGTGCCTGGGTGGACTTATTACAATCATTCAAGATTGTCACCTGGACCAGTTCAGGACACAGTATAGCTGTATTTGTCAACATTCTATTAAGATGTCTTGTTTTTGTTATTGTATATTTACTATAATAAAAGTGAACCTATCGTCAACGCTTTAAAGCCACATTTCTTAACTTCCTTTAAATGACAGCTAAGATATTGCATTCTTCCACTGTAAGGCTGAGTTCTAATTATTTACCTCAAGCACAAACTTTGTCAGGATTGTAAAATAAATATTGCCAATATGAGACTCTAAACAGTGATAGTTGTAGTCACATAATCCAAGATATAATAGATGGATACCATCTCTTAATTCAATTGATGTTAATATTTTAATATATATAAAAGACTCTTAACGTAGCATACCTAATTGTAACAGAAAACTCAGGGAGTCAGAGAGCTTTCCTTGTTCTAATACAGACAAGTGAAATCACATATCGAGACACCTTATTCCCTGATGCCTTTTCCTTCAAAGCAAAGGAAGGTTTCTCACCCATCATCTGTACTTCTTAGCAAGTTTTCCCGACGTTTTGTCCTCAGGATTGAGGACTTCTTCGGGGAATGAAGAAGTCCCTGAAGAAGTCCTTAGGATTGAGGACGAAACGTCGGGAAAACTTGCTAAGTACAGATGATGGGTGAGAAACCTTCCTTTGCTTTGACTAATCCCTGTACGACTGAGGGCTTACTCAAACTTGTCCTTCAAATGTGTATCTATACAAGAAAAATTTATTAGTGATTGTAGCAAAATTTGGCTTTTTGCTACAATGTGGTATATTTACATTGTATTGCAGATGTTCAATAATATGCAAGGTCCCCATCAAGGATAGATTTAAATATGGTAAACACTGAGTTCCCTGTGGTCAATGGTCAGCATGTGTGGGTGATGATCAGTATTTACGAGGGCGTGCCAGCCTCCTTAGCGCCCGGCGGGAGAAGTGCACTTTGCCGCGGGCCTTGCTGATGGCCGTGTACTCGTTGGACTTGAGCTTGGTGTAGTAGTCGGAGAACTTGTTGTAGAGGATGGAGATAGGCATGCCGTTCAGGATGATGCCAAAGGAGATGCAGCCGAACGCAAACACTCTGCCCAGATTCGTCTCCGGGAACATGTCCCCATAGCCCACAGTGGAGATGCTGGCCTGCAGCAGCACAAAGCAAATCATCAGCCTGCTCCCCACACTCCCACGCCACCTTCCAAATGTATGCAGTTGTGATTGAAAGTTTCCACACCCTGAGATAGATACTGTTTTGACTCCCTGTTGGGAAAATGTGAAAAAAAAGAAGTGTCCAGCAGCAGAAAAACATTCAGCCACACAAACACAATACATAATTCCAAAAGTTATTAACAATAGTATTATAACCCGCACGTGTTTAATTCAACCCTAGCGCAAACTTTGATGTGAAGTATTTACAACAACAATAACATCTGAGTCCTACACTTACCCACTCATTATTTATAATTGTGTAAAGCCATTGATTGTCAAATTGTCTTTTTTCCCACAGCTACAGTACACAAGGAGGATCTAGAAAGTGCATTCAATGTTACTGAAGGCTTCAGAAACGATAAAGAACCTCAACCATAACGACCACAAAAGAATATAGCTGGGGCAATACACGCCAATGAGAGGAGGGGGGTGGAGACTTCTAATCAGAGCCACACAAGCAGTTTCAAACATTTTTGGAAGTAGAAAACAAGGTTTTTTGGTACAGGGTGGCTTCACTCAACCATTAACAATTATTGATGAATTGATGATTTTTGTTCATAAATTCTAAACTATGGCCTGGGGCATACACTTTCGACAACTGTATGTAATATTTGGTAATGGACCGTCAGCAGATCAGATTCCACAATCAGACTCACCGCAGCCCACCACCAGGCGTGGGGCATGGACGTGAAGTTTGTGTCAGAGACGTCACGTTCCACTGTGTAGACCATGGCTGAAAACATAAAGATCCCCATTGCGATGAACAGCAGCAGACAGCCCACCTGCAGAAAGGTTGGCACCATCAGACCTGGGCTGGAGCTGACTGTGATTGGACATGTTTGTGCTAATGAGGCCACAGGGAGCCCTGTGGTACCTGTGGTACCTGTGGTACCTGTGTGTCCGATGTTATTATTGCTTTTCTCCCACAAATGCACCATGTAGAGTTTAAGTGTTCAGCTACCAGCACTACTACCGTTAGGTCTGGTTTAAAAAGGACTACATTTTCACTTTTCTTTTCTTAAACAGTGCACTGCACAATTTATATGATGTGGTCCGAAACCTGCTTGTAGCCAATGAGAGCTTGTGGCTTTGCAGTATGATGTAAAACGTGTAGATGACTTAACTGGGTGTTTACATTTTTATCCAGACATTGTCACAAATGGATAGGAACAGTGTTGTGTGTGTGTGTCAGTGTGTGTGTCTGTGTGTGTGTCTCACACCTGTTGGTAGCACTGGCGCAGCGTGAAGCCAAACGCCCTCAGGCCGGTGGAGTGTCTGGCCAGCTTCAGGATCCTGAAGATCCTCATGAGACGCATGATCCGCAGCACCTGGCCCACCTGCAGGGGGCGCCATTATTTCACCACATTTATCCGGGTTTTGGATATATTCTTATTTCTTTGACCTTATCGATTGTTTTGCTGCTAAATTGAAGTAGATTTGGCCTTGGACAAACAGCTAGTTTTTTTTTACACAAATGAGTTACCAAATATTTTCTATTGCTATTATACCTATTATATGATTTAGTTGTTTTTTGATGGTCATTCTAAAAATGCTCACTCAATTCTTATTTCATAATGTGAGCAATCCATGTTCATACAGACGTTTGAATTATTAATTTTAAACATAAGACGGTCCTAATGATAAAACAGTGTTAGTGTTGTGTCTAAATTACTGCTATATGGCCACTGTATTCACACTGAACACCTGTGTGAAAACCCGTCTATAGTATCATGCAGGTTACACTGCTTCCACAAAATGTTGCGCATTATGCTATTCCTTTTTTGTGTCTCTTAAATGTGAAGTGAAATCTTCTTCTTCTAGAATGTAAAAAGAAATGTCATTAAGATGTAATGTAACATGTAATTTGTTTTCTGTCTTGCACCTTACAATCTAACACAAAGTATCATACAGAAAATGAATTACATTTTAAATTGCATGGCACAGAGTAGTAAGACTGGAGATATGAATAGTTAAGGTTTCCAAGCCGAACGTGGAGGCTTTTGTTTTAAAGTGCAAAAAACACCTCTGTCCATTCTCCATACAGTAACACACTTGATCAGAAGGAGTGGGGTAATGGACATAGCAAAAAAAAACACTTTTTGGCGAGGAACAATGTCACACTGTTAAAAACACCTATGTGTCCTTTAAGCCCTAGATCATAGTTTTTGTTTGCAAGTATGAAGACTGCATATTCAGAGGAACATGATCAGAATGTTCAGAAACACTTGGATATAATCATTTGACATGAAACTATACACAAAAGCAGAGGAACATCTTATCTGGAGCCTGACCTTTCCCACACGTCCCACTGTCTCGATGTCCTCTGAGTCCAGGTGGAGGTCCTCGTACTCGAATCGCTCCAGGCCCATCTGCAGGTAGTGTGGCAGGATGGCGATCAGGTCCACCGTGTTGAGGACACTGCGGCCAAAAGCGCACAGGTCAGGAGTGGACAACAGGCGCATCACATACTCCAGTGTGAAGAAGGTGATGCAGAAGGTCTCCACGCTCTCCCCGTAAAAGCGGCCATTCAGCTGGCCTGAGGCGGTCTGCAGGACACAAGGGAGCTGAGTTTTAATATAATATACAGTGGGGTAAAAGAAGTATCTGGCAGTCACAGCTTGTTGTGATCCACTGCTCACTTGGGATAACCTGTACATGGGCAATAATTAGCTATAGACTACACATACTACACAACTTTAGGGATGAGTGGTAAATAGAAAGTCAGTGTTGAATTAAAGCTGCAAGAAGCAAAGAGGAGGCCCAAACGCAAAATGTTATGTAAGGAACAAAATTAATACTGCTCATCACCCTTCGTGCACCATCCCTAGAGTCAAATGTGGGGGAGGCAGTATCATGTGTATGGGGCTGCTTTTCCTCAGAAAGCTCAGTGAAGAGAGAGAGTTGATGGGAAGGTTGATGGTGCAAAATGGAATGAAAACCTGCTGGGGCTGGGCATTCCACAAAGTATTTTTCCACTTGTGCACGCCCTACTTTTCAATTTCCTATTTTATGTATACAAATCTTGACACAATGTGCAAAAGTTCAAGGTGTATCAGTACTTTTGAGAATCAAGTTATTTACCAAGTGTGAAAACCTCTTCTGTCTCACTCCTGCCAAAGAGTCAAATCTGATGTCAGATTCCACTTATGCCCTTGGTACTTTGTTGTATCTGTCCTTACTGATGTCAGTAAAGACAAAATATTGTTAGCAGAATATTCAAATCAAATCAATTCACTTTATTCTTGTATAGACTTAAATCACAACAGTAGTTATCTCAGAGGACTTAACAAAACTGTTGAACAGTTGGATATTGAAAACCTCTCGGATATACTGATATTCTGTCCCTATTGTGAGGCCTTTGCACAGACCTGGAAGTGCAGGTCCTCCACAGTGTTCAGCGTCATGGCGACCAGTGAGATGAGCACAAACATGGAAGAGGCCACCGCCATGACTTTGGCTGGTACTGAAGAGAAGGGTTTCTCCATCAAGTTCCACATGGCACAGCGGATCTGCCCACAGCACATGTCACAGAACAGGTCCTCCTTCTCCTCCACTGCCACCTGGAAAACAAGAGCACAGCTTCAGCCTTGTGTGGGGCGTGACCAGGGCACAATTACCCCGTAAAGGTTGGCTCCAATTGTGGCACAGGCAGCTGCCACAACTGATCAGTGGCAGTTGCCAATATTTTTTTTGCCACTGCCGTTTTCAGTGGCATCTAAAATGGTGGGTAGACAAGTGGCCAGTTTGAAATGGCGGTGACATTTGGTAGAGCATTGGCCTTCTGGCCTAACGGCCATGGGTTCAATCTCCCACAAGACCTTCTCCACCAACTCCCATTTATAGTTCAAATCCTGCTCAAATCCTGCTAAGGTTGAACTCATTTTTCTATTGGCAGCATTATATATTAACTGGTAAATAGTTTCTAGTGTAGTGCAGGATTTTTAGAGACAGTGAGAAAATGCAAACACAGCTATGCAAGGCTTTTCTATTCTGCTCTGCCCCTGACCGCTATAAACACATGGAAAAGGATCATTCTCATGTTATGCCTGATATTAACAAGATGTAATATATATCAAATAATGTAATTTATTTGCAGCCAAAACTGTTGAAAATGAAGTCTTTCCAGAAACAATTAAGATGCAGCAACACTATGCACTGTATTCAAAATATAGCCAGTGATGCACAATGTCCAATTTAGTGGACACATGATTCATTTCAATTTCCTCAAAACTCAATACTTTTTATTTTCAACAATCATACTTAGATGTTACTTGATGTTCAAATTTTGTTTTTACCTGCTAAACGTTCCTGGAATATAATGTATGAACATATCCTCCTCAACTAAGCACAATTTCTCTTTCATCAGCCATCTTTTTTTTACATTTGTATGTTTACCAGTCTGTAGCAGTGCATATGGCAACAAGGTCCACTATAGTGACAATAGTGCAACTGTGACTTTAAAACTCACACGTATGTAAGAAAACTACTATTGAATACAGTAGCTGTTCACTGTAGTGGCCACAATGCATGAAAGGGTGAACATAGTTCTCTTTCAAACAACAATATATAATTGTGTCCTTGTGTGACATTTGAGGATCCCTGAGGAAGCCCAGCCTAAACATTCTGTCCACATCTTGGCCAGACATGGGAGCATCTTCCTATGCACAGGGAGTGCCGTCATACGCAACAAAAAATGTTGGATAATGTTGTGCCATCAGATATGGTTGTGGTGTGGTGGCATTTTAGATGCCGTTCAAAGGAACGTCCAACAGTGTGCACCCTTGGCTAGAAAAATAACTCACTATTTATATATTTAACAATATGTTAAATTGTTAAAAAACTAATACATTGCCTTGTCAATGTATCAGTTTTTGCATTCAACTGGCCATTGCTCCGCCAGTTCCCCAATATTTTCTCAAATTTGAGCCTTAGCTGTGTAAATTCTAATCCGAAAACCATGCAGGTTCACGAGGATCATCAAAAGGACGGCAGACAGCTGGAGTCCGGCATAAATAAGACATTATGCAGAAAACTTCTGCACACCTGCACCACTACCCGCACTGCGACTCACAGGAAAGTCTTCAGTTTCTGAAAAGCACTCTTTAAATTATAAAGATTATTATTACATAGGATAAGATTAATACAGAACAAATGAAATCATAGTGATATATAGAATTTGGAATCAAATGTTGAGTGGAATAGCCTCCTATGCAGCCCACCTCGTCCAGCAGTAGCCTCTGGATGCGCAGCTGTTCGTTGAGTTCGTCTTGGCGCTCCTCAAACGAGATGCGGCAGCAGCGCTGGGTGTTGCGGATGCGCACGCCCCAGTAGTTGACCTCCTCCAGGAAGCTGCGTGGACACAGCTCATCTTTGATCCAGAGCACGCCCGTCCTGCACTCACCACAGCAGTGTGAGAGAAGGACAAAAGAGGACTTTTTTCAGTCAAGATCCCATTGGTGTGTGATATCACACAGCAATATAATTAGTAGGGCCGGGAATCAATATATATGTATGTATACACAGTACAGACCAAAAGTTTGGACACACCTTCTCATTCAAAGAGTTTTTTATTTTCATGATTATGAAACAACTGAAAATATGTCTTATATTCTAGGTTCATCAAAGTAGAACCTTTTGCTCTGATTACTGCTTCTCACACTCTTGGACTTGATGAGCTTCAAGTGGACCTGAAATGGTCCGAGTTCCCACAGATGCTTAGCACTTGTTGGCCCTTTCGCCTTTACTCTTTGGACCAGCCCCAAAACCATCTGGATTGGGTTCAGGTCCGGTGACTGTGGAGGCCAGGTCATCTGGCCCAGCACCCACCACTCTCCTTACTGTTCAAACAGCCCTTACACAGCCTGGGTGTGAATCTACAGTCAATAGTCATGAAAAGAAAGGACACTCAATGAATGAGTAGTGTGTCCAAACTTTTGGTCTGTACTGTATATTTGATATATGTATATATATATTTACAGTATACTGTATTCACTATATTCAGAGATGCATGTATTTCAAAAAATTGATATTGAAGAACTTTCAGCTAGCTGAGAAACATAGCAGCTACTTTGATTGTATATTTTGTGTGCTCCTTGTGTGCCTTTACTACTGCCCTGCATGTGCATCGCAACATTGAAATTTCCCTACTGTGGGACAGTAAAGGATCCCTTGTCTTATTGTACTAATTTTAGACACATTTTTGGGTTAAGCTTGAGCACCTGCAGGAAACCTAAGCAGACATGGGGAGAACATGCCAACCTCAGAGACATAGGTGCACTTGGACTCCCGCTGCATGTTTCCTGTGCTAAGCCATATGAATGAACCCACTGACTGATAGCTGAGCTGCAAATAACCTCATCATCAGAAACTAAAAACAATTGGAATTTCAACCCTGTTCACCTGATTTGGAGGTTTTTGTTGGCAAATCAACAATTTTGTGAAGCCCTTTGTGATTTTGGGCTGAACAAAAAAATTTGATTTGATTTGTGCCTCTCGGCTCTACTTTGCTTTCAAATCTACATTAATCGTACGAAGGGAAACAAGAGTCTAGACTCTCTGAAGGCCTCACCGGTAGAAGGTGAAGATGTGGTGGAACACTGAGGGGTCCCGGTCGAAGAAGAACTCTTTGCTGTGGACGATGTAGTCATCACACAGCTCCAGGCGCAGGCTGTGGTCGGCGCATGTGGCAAGGCGCCCGATGCGGCTCTTTGGGTAACGTGCCGCCAGCTGGTAGGGCAGTCTGTACACCTGAGGAGGAGGGGTCAGCTGTAATCTTAATTATCATTTGATGATCATAGTGACCATTCCTGTTTACATACATATTTGTCTAGGTAATTGTGCCACTAATAAACTGGTTCTTTGATGGAGTTTCTTGTCCTTAATAAGATTTGCCAATAGAACAAGTAGGTTCAGTTTTATTTCAAGAGCAATCTCATATTTCAGTGTGACTGTTCCCTCTTTTATGTTTTATGTCATATAGTGAGTAGAATTAATCTTAAATTGAGAATAAAAATTCATAAATGATCTTTCTTCCACTTCCTCCAGCTCATCTGGAGGCTTACCTGGACGGCTCCCACACAAATGTCTCCATCACCACTCGCTACTCTTGACATAGCTGCTCATTTGGGCCACTTGTATCCTCCATGTTATCCTTTGAGCCATTCCCCAAAGCTTATGACCATTAATAAGGGGAATGGTCTTTCAAAATTCAGAGGTTTGTCAGCAGACGCTGCTCCCTCTTCACCACCAGTGTCCAATACAGTGGCCGCATCACTGCAGACGCTGCACCGACCATCCGTCAATCTCACGCTCCATCATTCCCTCACTGAGAACCAAATCGGAAAGACTGGACCTCTGCCCTGGTGCTCCAGGAGAGCACCAGGGCAGAGGACTTTGAGAAACTAGTTTTCATCTCAGCGGCTTCACAGACGACCAAACTGGTCCAGAGGTTCTGCTTTGATGAGGCCAACAAACTACCCATTGTTCTTCCATTTTAACTGCAACTGTGTAGCATAATGTGTGACATAACGCTGATGTGAGTCCAGTGAGCTCCATGCTAGGACACAGGACAGGGGACACAGGACAGGGGACACGGGACAGGGGACACGGGACACGGGAAACAGCACAGATGACACAGGACAGAGGACAGGGGACTGAGGACACAGCATGGGGCACGTACCGTCCCGCCCACGTTGATGTTGAGGCTGAAGTGTTTGGTGGGGGACACAGGGAAGCGCTCCTCGTCTTCCTCATGTTCGTACTCTGCGTAGATGTCATAGATGTCCCGACTCACCTCCTGCGAGAACACCAGGAACCTTACAGAACCTCACCAAACCTTACCGAACTAGTTATTGTTGCAACTTTACCGCTTTTAGTTTTTTAAAACACATGTAGTAGTTTATAGTTCTGAGTTTAATTTTATTCGGGACATTGATTTAAAGAATAATGTGTCAGTTTTATACTGCACTTTTTGGACACTCAAACATGCTTCACATGTCATTGTTTATTCACTCCATACAGGGTGGTGATAAACTACTACTGAAGTCACAGCTGCCCTGGGGCACATTGACTGAAGCAAGGCAACCAGTATGTGCCATCGGCCCCTCCGACCACCACCAACCATTCACACACCAGACTCATTCTAGGCAATGTGGGTGAAGTGTCTTGCCTAAGGACACAACAGTTTAGAACTTTACAGCTGCCCCACTGGGCGGCCCCATGGTGTTCCCAGATGTCTCCCATCCCAGTACTAACCAGACCCCGCCCTGCACAGCTTCAGAGGTCTGACGGGATCTGGCTTTCACATGCAAGTATAACTCATCTAAATATCATGCTTTTAGATTATATTCAACAACTGGCAGTTACACACTACACACACTACTATTTGTAGTAATATAATGTATATTATAGATATATTATTATTATATTATAATGTAAATTATTTGTCATGTTGTGAAATTAATCTTATTTAATTTAGCAATTTTCTATTTGGGACCCTCTTGAAAATGAGATGCTGCATCTCAAGGAGTTTTCCCTAAATAAAAATCAAGCAACTGATTTATTACATTCAGAACATTTGTAGACATTATATAGCTTAAAACTTTTAGTGACTATTGAAAATGTATCATTTGTGTTTTGAAGATAGACATTTTCCACATTTGCAAAAGAAATTCATTTAACTTAACTCACTTAAACTTCATATACTACTTACTTAGGTCAGATAAAAATAAATGATAGGACACCCTCTGTATAAAATTTTTATTTACAGAGATACTGAGACAATAATTGTGAGTTATTTTTGGAATGTGACTAGTAAAATAAGTGAATAAAAAAAATCATAAAGTGCAGCCAGATAAAAAAACAGCACAGTTCCTTTGGGGATAAGTAACTTTTTTTTAAAATCTAATTATTATAAAGCAAAAATGGCTCATTAATGAAGCTATACATCATATCTTTTGACTGTTCTGTTTTAGTATTAAATTTTTAGTTGGAAGTATTCTGACACGCTCATGGGACTGTCCCGGGTCAGAGAATGTTGCCTTGGCCCGGTGCGTGCTGTGTTCCGCGGGTACAGACCTGTAGGGAGCTCCATGGCTTGAGGCAGGTGTTGAAGTGGATCAGGTTCTCTATCCCGTCCTGGGCTGCCCCGCCGTAGCCCCCGCTGCCTACCCGGTAGCTGTGGAAGAGGCTGTGGCTCCGGCTGCGCAGTGTGGTCAGCATGTCTGCGTGCAGTGGAGACGGCCAGATGTGTGTGGACCTCTGATCCACGTGGCGCACACTAAATACCGTTATCCTCATCTGGGCCATTTGTGCTGCTTTTCTCTGCTCTGGGATCACAGGCGCCGGGTGGCACTTGTACAAGGTCACATTTATAAAGCTGCCATGTGGGTCTTCACTTTGATACCTACCCTCCCACATCTACTATGTACTTGAAGCTGGAGTACCTAAATTTGCTTTATATTTTGTAAAGTTAATACACATTTTCCAACCAATTTTATTATTTACTTTTACAAGAAATCACAAGATGCCATCCTCATATTTCTAGATAACATGCGTCACTGTCACTTTTTGGGCTGAGAGCTGTTCGTGAGCTGGTTGAGTGAGGGTGATGCCCTCTTTCCTTTTCCGTATGAAAAAGCTGATCTAAATATGACAGGACAAAAATACATGCATGTGAAAACTTTGATCATGGAACCAAACTGATGAGCGAGGCCCATGGCTTTTTTTTTAAGTTTAATTTTTGGGCTATTTTTTATTTGAACCGATCAATTTGTGCAGATGTGAAAGATTAGTAGGCTGATCCATGAGGCACTTAAATTTCAAATAGATAAGATAATAAGAGAATCCTTTATTAGTCCCACAGTGGGGAAATGTCAATGTTGCAGTGCACATACAGGGCAGTAGTAAGAGCACACAGGGAGCACACAAAGTGTACAAAAAAAACAGTGCATCCGGAAAGTATTCACAGCGCTTCACTTTTTCCACATTTTGTTATGTTACAGCCTTATTCCAAAATTGATTCAATAAATGTCTTTCCTCACAATTCTACACACAACACCCCATAATGACAACATGAAGTTTTTTGGAGATTCTTGCAAAACAAAAAACAAAGAAACCACATAAGTATTCACAGCACAGTTTTTGCTTAATACTTTGTTGATGCACCTTTGGCAGAAAGTACAGCCTCAAGTCTTTTTGAATATGATAAGTAAAGAATAAGTCCAGAGTCTTATTGCCTTGTGTGGACATGTGATGCGTGAAGGATGGGAGAGTAGAGGCTGGAGATGAATGGTGGAAGTCCCCTGTGATGATAAACAGGGCCAGGGGGTGCTGTGTTTGAAGTAAGTAAGTAATGTTTATTGTTTTAATAAAAATATTTATTGAAGACTGCTCATGGTGGAAAAGAGGCTTTCACAAGCACTGTCAGCTTTGGCTGAAGGACGAATATAGACAGGGAAAATAACGTGACTATACTCCCTTGGCGGATAGTATGGGTGCATACCAATAACCAAAAGCTCAATGGCACTCATTTATGAAACTTGCGCAGAAAAGGGTGTATATTCCAAATACACAAGATCCAGATCCGAGCGTAAGCAGCTGCGGCTGTTGATGAATGCCTTGGCTGAATACAAACATACTTATGAAAGTCACACCTACAAATATGCAGCAACCGCCTGCATGTTTCACGGCCCGTTTTTGCAATAATTAAGAGGAAGGCGCCCAAGAAAAAAAACATCACGGAGCATCAGGAGATTGAGACCATTATGAACGAAGTGGAAAAAAATAAACTCTTACTATTTGGAAGCCTCAAAAGTGGCATCAAGGGGGCTTAAAAAACAAAATATGGAAAGAGATCCGGTGTCCCCCCTCCCCCCCCCTGCAGGGGGCACCTGGACATCTGGAGGATTACTGCACGTTTGCACACGTCACCATAAGCTCCACTGCGGTCGCCTCTAATCCAAGCACAAACATCAATGTGTGTTACAATCCTAATCTAACCAGACGCAATCATCCAGTTGGGTATATTACGATAGATTCACATGTCCTGATTTTTTTAATAATGCATGATTGCATGTTTTTGGCAATAATTCTCTAATAATACATGTAGAAATTTGTTTGATCAAGTGAAAGCTCGGATCCCTTACTCTCCACATAGTTTTTTCTTATATTAATGAAATGTGAAAACATCAGACCACAACCGGCCATAAGAAAACCTCTTTGGGAATTTGGGAGAGCCTGGCTGAGTAAGGGTGGTCCTCTCTTTTTCACTTTTCTGTCAGTGTGAGGTAGTGTAGCATGGAGTGGCCCAGGTGGCAGAAACAAATGTCCAAAACTGCTCTGACAACATGAAAATGTGATGCCCAGAACAGGCCGCAAACCTGGTTTAAATACACTATCTGACAAGATGGCCCATTCCACTCAGTTGGAATCTCAAAATATAGAAAGTATATTTTAGTGTCCCTTGTCTTTGTGAACAGTTTTCTTTTTAAAATCTCTGCAAAAGCATGAGAGCAACGTAAGCAAGTGCTGCCGCCCACAGTCAGGATTGACTGGTCAGAATGCTCACGTGATAGGGTGATCTTGTGGAAGTAGAACCCTAACCTACTGTGCAAGACCATAACAAAGAGGCCCTGCTAATATTTAGAACCTCTGGTGAGACCATACACGTGTCACAGGCAGACAGGTTCTGACGTAGTGTGATTTTAATTGTAATGACCATGTTCGACCACTAGTACGTATTACATACTTTAATTTACTACAGATTTTAAACTTTTCCCATCAGATTTTTAAAAATGAATTACTTATGAAATTAGGACACATCTCCTTGACTCCGGAGTAGTTATTTCTATAATATTATTTAATTAATAATGTCATTTTGTGTGAAAATAGAGTCTACAGTAGTAATTTGTGCTGGCTTGTTGACTGTGGTCCCCATGAACAACATCACACGACAGCACTTTCACAAGCGTATAGGCCTTTATTTCCAAGTGACACAGCTCTCCAGTCGCACAACTGTACAAGGCTAGAAAATCCACTGCCACAGCACTCACACATACAAAAGAGCGCTTCACACGCTGGCCCCGAGAAGAGAAGAAAAATCATACAATTTTTTTACATGAGAAGAATCGGCTCAAAGTGCATGAGGAGTCCTGATCCAGGCAGAGAAAGACGCTGCCATGGCGACACCCATTTAGAGTGACCGAGGGAATAGCGAAAGCAAATACAAATGTCATAAATAAGTGCAATGTACAATTCATCCAGGAGTGCTTAAGTGTCTCTCTCCATCTGGCCAGCAGAGACTTTGTTCGACGTGATGGGAGACTATAAATTATTCAGGAAAGAAATTATACTTACAGAAAATAAATAATATTGACAAATAGAACATTTGATTGGCACATTGACATGAGAATAAATAGGTGTCCATTGTCTGGGCTCATGTGTGCAAAGTACTTGTGCACTTTGGAAAGGCATGTGTGGCTCCGTCCAGGGCCCGGCTCAGATCCACAATCAGGACAGGTCGGTGTCTTCTGTGCTCACTATGGAGATCTGAGGACACAGCAGAGACAAACTCATGTATATGTAACCTGGAAGCTATAGATCTATTGCACAAGTTTGTAATGGTAGTCAAAGCATCGCCCCCGCTCTCGAGCAACTGTCAAACTACCCGGTGGACCTATGCTAATTGTACAAACAAACTCCCTCCTCAATTCCACCAATTCCCCTGGAAACATGTGAGGGAGGTGGACCCTCAGGACGAGAGGAGACATACAATGAGTACCATGTCCCACAGCGCAAACATTACCCACCTCTAACCAACCTGATGATATTACTATTAGATCATTTAACAGTTTGTTTAGCCAAGTGAGGGAAGCATAAATGTGTTGATGAAAGGAGGATCTCCAAGGTGTGACCCTGGTCTGTCCACCACCATCTGCCACAAACCTCACAGGGTGTAATCAAGAGTCCTACAGCCATGGGATAACCTCAGATTTGACAGTGTTCAGTTATTGGACTTCTATGCCAGTTACAGTTTGTCTATAACTAGCAGGAGGGTGTCCACCAGTGCACACGGCACCAGGACACCTTAGGCCAGAGGCAGATGATTGACTATTGTCTGACTATTGTCTGGGATATTGTTGGGTGGTGCAGGGAATACTTTGAGGTTCTCCTCAATCCCCCATGTCATGTCCCCCGATTCAACTGATACATGTCTGACGTGACAATGGAGTGACAGGCCGGCGTCAGGGTTCCCTCTTCAACAAGGTGGACTGAAGAGTGTGTTCGAACTGCATGGCTCAGCCTCCCCAGTAATGTCTATTCCAAGGCAAACCAGTGAGTATTTGTTTTTCATTTTATTTTAATCTGTTCACAATTAACTAGTGATTTGCTCTCAATTCTGTCCCTACCCTCATGTTGCTGAGTTGTAAACATTAAACCCAAGTGCAGATTGAATAGTGTACTTTTTGTGGCCATTTGTTGTATATTGTTTGAGTGCTCTTTTCATTCCTACTGCTCAAAGTTGCAAGGCCACAATGACATTTCACCATAGTGGTACTTGTCATATGAACAGCTTGCATGCAGGAATCGCTAAAGTGTACACAAGTGAAAACAACCAACATGGTCAAACACTGCAAGTGTCAATCTTGCATGCGATACCTCTTTAAAGACAAAGTTGTACATGGGACATTGCATTGTGTTGAGACCCTGAACAAAGACGACACACAAGGCTGAATGCTGTGTGGTAATCAGTGCCTGCCGTGTGTACTGAGTGTACTCTGCTCCTGCCTGAGGATTACCAAAGGTCACAGGCAGGGGATTAATGTGCACATGTTCTTAATAAAACAATAAGGCTGTGCCCATCTGCACACAGCACTGCATCTGTCCCCGGACAGCACAAAACCCTTCCAAAATCAGGTTGAGGAAATGCAGAGTTTGAGACACTTTATGCAAGGACTGATCCTGCTTAATATACAGAATGTGCGACTCCCATTTTATCCTCATCATCCACTAGAAGGCAACAGGAGACACTTGAGAAGGTCCGGGTCGCCCCTGGCCTGGACTTGTGGGCGGCACCTCCATCCCCTGCCTGGGAGCCCCTTCAGGCCTGAACTGCACAGCCTCACTCCTGGATCTGGAGCAAATCCTTCTCAACTCTCAGTGTGGGCCTCCCCAATAGTGAACTGTTTTTTTTTTAAAGCTCAGTTTTCAGAGCCAAATTCTGTGCGTGTGTGTTCGCTCACAGCAGGGTAGGTGTGGCCCACGTTGGCACCGTGTCGGCTGATGTCGATGCTCAGGTCCTCCTCTGTCGTCTTCAGGTAGACCGGGTTGTCAAAATTCATGCTCTTGTGGTTCTTCAGGGTCCAGTTCCTCCACATCAGGAAGGCCCCCACCGCAGCCATGGCCAGCAACACTGCACGGACAGGGGACAAGGGTCAGGTGACCACCAGATCTGAACTCTGGCTGTAACAATTAACGAATCGTAATTTTATTATTTAAATTATATATAAAAATCATTTTGAAATTCACAAAGACTTATACATGCTGAGAAGGTTTTTTGCCAATAATTCAATAATGACTGCACAATGAAAGGCAATTTGAGTCACCTCTATGAAGATGTTCTCCAGAGAAATCACTTGCGCTTTGTTTTGGTCAAATAGAATTACTGGAACTAAACAACTAAAATAGATTAACCAAAATAATAATGTACCATCTTACAGATTGCTATAATATTTGCTTACTGCCACTGTATTCTGAATCATGTTGAAATGCCTTCTATTTGAGATGAGTCATTAGTTACACATTTCTAAATCGGAACTGAACTGGAATTCATCAACCAACTGACCACTGCTAACCCAAGCAGGTCTTACCCTTTCCAGGGTCGTACAAGCAAGGCCAAATCAGGCAGAAAACAAATATTTGGATCATTGACTGCAGCCCTGATATCTTTTCAAGTTTGTCCACACTCAATATAGGGCACTTTCAATTGTATATAATTATATGTTAAGCCTTTTGATACAGTTACAGGCCAAAACATGTACTGGCTTAAGCAGGGGGACACATCTGGCACTTTGGTCTTGGCCATAGTGGAGTTTGGAGAGTGACTGGAGTTTGAAAAATACCTGTCCACAACCTCAAACAGGTGCCATTAATACACGTAACAAGTGGAAGACAGAGGAGCCTCTTAAAGAAGTTACAGGTTTTTTTGGTTTTTTGTTTTTTTTTTACACAATAAATCTACAAATACATTCTTTAAAAAACTTAGTTGAGATATATTTTTGATTAAAATTACAGGCCTCCCTCATTTTTTTTTTTTAAGTGGACACACACACACGCAGAATCAAGTGTTGTGCAATGCCTCCACCACGTTGAGATGTGAGAAAGGACATGGAGGTGTACACACACAGGAGGGTGTACACATGTTACTTACATACGGGGAGGATGGCCCAAGCCGCTGCAGAGCCCCGCGCTGTCGAGTCCACCAGGATGGGCACACTCACATTCACTTCTGTCAAAACAAACCCAACAGACTTTTATAAATTAGACAAGTTTCCTATAGCGCCCTTGTTTATTTTATGTAACGGACGTGATGATTTGAAGGAATGAAGTTGCTGAAGTTTGATAAATATGTTCAGATCTCCACATTTGATAAAATTATTTTTATTTTTTTTACACACAGGAGAAACAAAGTGATTACTTTCAGTTTCTTTTTTTTTTAAGATTCCTTTTAAAATCAAGTCACTTGTGTTGAGTTATGTAACTGGAGTCACAGTAGAATGATCAAATCAGAGGCTGATTTGGTTGTTTAAAATGTCAGCAAAAAATGTGTCACATTTTATCCACACCATCTCTTTGATATGTCTGTTTGAAAGATTTTTCCTACCTATGATAGTAATTTTAGTTTTTGAGTTAAAACATTTTAAAGTCCAGATTGACACTTTACTGTGAACACACCCCTGATCAGGAATCAAGTACAATGCAAATCAGGAATCAAGTAAAAAAAAAAGAAGAAAAAAAAACAGTCAAAGCAGAGCAGCATGGCACTTCAGATGTATGCAGCTGAAATCTGGAAACAAGCTTGTCCCACAAGAATGTTCATGAGTCCCAGCTGGAGGCCAGTCCCTGTGCTCCTCAGAGTTGGTTCATATGTGAGAATATTTGAGATGGTCCATGGTACATTTATCATAAGAAATGATTGGGCGGCACGGTGGCTGAGTGGATAGCACTCTCGCCTCTCAGCAAGAAGGTCCTTGGTTCGAATCCCGGCCGGACAAGGGCCTTTCTGAGTGGAGTTTGCATGTTCTCCCCGTGTCTGCGTAGGTTTCCTCCGGGTACTCCGGTTTCCCCTACCACTAAAAATATGTACAATTGGTCTGGCATGCGCCTCCTGTTCGGCGACCCCGCTTCACCTCCCACCAGCAGCAGAGGGCACCATTTCCTTTCTAAAGGACCTGGACTAAGGACACATTATACACAATGAAAACATTTCTTTTATTATTGCATTTCCTGTTGAAATCCAATAAAATTAAATTCAAAGTTGGTCTGACTAAAATGTGGCAGATTCAACCATATACACACCTATTCAATTCAATGTTATTTGTAAAGCCCTAAATCACAAAACCAGACAGCCGTTAATTTCAATAACGGATTACAGAATTAGGACAATTAAACAATTAGGAAATGGTTGCATTTCCTGTATTCTTAATGGACGATTGGTCCTTAGAGCAGCATGATGTCTGTTCAAGAACATTGAAGGGGTTGAACTCTAAACAATGTGTGTGCCTGTAATTACTTTGGGCCCTGTTATATTTAGGCAATGTAATTTCCCACTAGCACGAGTTGAGAGTTGCGTATTCTAGTTATCCATTATTCCATTAGTCATGTTTAACTAAATATCTACTACTGAAAGAATGAGAACCAATGTTTCCTGTAAATGTAGACAGAAGCAGCTGCAGGAGGGGCGTTACTTGGCTGTCCAAAGACATTTATTGGCTGCTGAAACACTCAGTCTTTGTCCTCAACATATGCTCAGAGTCACTTCAACCTAATTTGGAAGTTAAAAGTGCAGGGCAGGTACATGTGATGAGGACATGGAGCAGTCACAGGACTCTCCACAATGCGGACAAACACTTCTGAAGACAACGATTACATTTCACTCACTTTGGTTTTGAAGGAAAACATTGCACATTAACAATACAAGGATTTATTACAAACATTGATTATAAACTTCCTGACATATTCATTACCTAAATTTGGCTGCAGTCTTCTACAGTACTGCTCGAAAGTCTAGACTTTTTAATAATACTTTTTATGGCCATTTGGATCATGTGTTCTCTACTGGTCTCTGAAAAACATTTTATAAAAAGAGAATTATTCTCTTACCATCTTACTTTCATCAGTACAACATAATGATAACCAAAGGTATAGTACAGTACAGCTCTTATAGCATGTATATTGCAATATTTAATCTCTTTTTCATAATTTACTGGTTTTATATAGCGCTTTTGGGACTCAAAGACGCTTCACAGCATTATTAATTCACTCCATACACAGAAGAAGTAGAATGTGGTAGAATGACAGAGGCAAGGCAACCAGTACCATCGACTCCTCCAACCACCACGAATACAGATGACTCTTACTCAGTAAATGTGTCCTTAGGCAAGACACTTCACCCACAACAGTTCTTTACAGCTGCTGCTAGTTTCTCTGCAACTAGAGACATAACATCAAGTTTGATACTAAATGCTTGGTGAGATTTTTTTTATTTGGATTTTAACAATCTAAAAATATAACAAAGAAATACACATTTTAAAGACCACACCTTGGGCAAGACACTTAACCCCACATTGCCTGAAGCCCCTGCTGAAAGACCAAGGCCATCTAGTCGATGACATAGAAGCCATCTTCCCGTGGATCCACCACCTGCAGGAGGATCAGCGAGGGACTGGTGCAATGAGACTTGGGTGCCACCCCCCTGACCCAGAAATGGATTAATAAAGGGGTAGAAAATGACATGACACCCACTTTTTCACCATCAAGTACTGAAATTACGTTCAACAAATGTTAGAGAATGCTAAATAGCCCAAGGCTACAATCCAGACGTAACTGCACACAGCGAGCCGCAAAGCATTACCCGCACTTCTGTTTGGATTGAAACAAATCTTGATTTTTGACTTCACCAACCGGAAAAGCTGGTAGATTAATCAACATTTTAGTGCACGAGTTTGGATAAGTATTTAAAGCTCAACTTTCTCAATCTGTTGTTAATTTTGTAGAAAGACGACACAGGCATAAAATAAAGACGTTTGCTGGCCCAGGTCTAAGCTGAGCGGCTTGGGGGGAGTGGGGAGCAGAAGTGGGGCATGTCTCAGAGGAATGCCCTTGTGAATAATCTCGCAGCCTCAGAATGTCCACGCCTCACAAGGAACATTTATGCTCCAGCAAACACTACAACGTTACGTCGTCTCCCAACCTGGAGGGCAGAACCTGAGCTACTGAAAATATATATATTTTTTCAATTAATAATTTTATTTTGGATTGAGGAAACATCTGTATGTTACACTATCCTTGAGGGTATGTGCTCTCATGATCTGTGAGACTCAGCATTTACCAATATCCAGTGTGATAGTGGTATTAAAAAGTATATGCAACAAATGAATTTCTTTTTTATGAAAAAGACAGGTCTGTCTGGCCTTTTTATACCCATTTCAAGATGATTGAATATAATCTTCTCAAAGAAGCTCTGCTCCAGTGTCGACTGACCTGTCCGGCAACGCAGGCCGTCCTCGTCCACCTCCTGGTCCTCTGGACACACACAGGTGTACTTGGGGGAGTGCTTGTTGATCTGAGGGGCCGGGAGGCACATGTAGCTGCAGCCGCCATTTTGGCCCTTCTCCAGACACCAGTTAGTCCCTGAGCACAACACACACAGGTCAGAACACACATCTTCAACTTCCAGTCCACACTGATCACACATTCTTCTCGAGCAGAGGACAAAAGAAAGTCACTCATCACCAGGATTCAGGAGAGAATTTAATTTCAACAAAATCTAACGAAGACTTTTAAAAATAAATGTGTTTTATAGTTCAGGGGTCTCCTAAATGTTTCAGGCAGAAAAAAATCAGCTCGTTTTAGAGGAAAACACTTCTCTGAACAAAAGTTTAAAGCAGAATTATTCTTAATAATGTGATGGACATGATGCCCATAATATTAATGTTATGGGTCAAGCAGATTATCAGATCAGAGAGCAGTAGAGCAGTTTCATTTGGGTTGCCAGTAAGGTGAAATTTAGCTGGTCTTGTCTCTAATTTGTTCTAAAAAAAAAAATAAATGAATAAAATAAATAAAGAAGGCACAAGGATAAGTAGTCATATGTAATAAGAGTTTGTACATTTTATATCTAAAACCCAGCAGGTGGTTTGCATGCCTTCCCACAAGTTCCTTGTAAATTAAACTAGAAAGTCACCGCATAAACTGAACAAGAATTCCACTCGATGCACTTCAATTTCTTTCCTTCCTATCCAACTGAAAAATGAGGGTCTGGCTGTGAGAAGCATCCGTCTGCACGCACCAGCCAGCTGGATGAGCTCATGGTATACAATGATGTCCTGCGGGTCGTTCAAGTTGCTGGCCAGGGTCACAACCTCAGCACCACTGAACTTGTTGGCTCCGTATATGGCTTTTTTCTCTCCATCTGTCCAGAAAACACGGTCCTGCACATAAAAAGGTCAGAAAGAGTAAATAAGAGCAATGAAGAAGTTTGTAGACACAACATCTTCAGTTACATACTTAACCAAAACGATTTTACTTGTCACAATAGAATGAGCATGGCGTCTTCATCATGTCAACATGTCATCTTTTGCATACTTTTACTTTTCAATCTGAAAAAGCTAATCTAATAGATGTGACGGAGGCCAAAAGCGGCCGCTGTTTGAGAAACTTGTGAGATGGATTTTATTAAGTTAATTATAAAACGGTATTTGACCCATCCTGTAATACGCTGAGGATAGTATAGTATAGTATAGTATAGCATAGTAAAGAACAGGGGTCGGCAACCCGCGGCTCTTGAGTGCTGCTGGAGTGGCTCCTGGAGCCTTTTCAAACATGTCTGAAAATGGAGTGTGAGGGCAATATTTTATTTCTAGTTTGAATGTGGTTTCTGTAGAAGGAAAAACAATACGTTTTTAAATGCTGTAAAAATGTGTATAATATTTAATTTCAACATTTCTGTCAACGTAGTGCGTCATATCCTATGACGCGCGGTCACGCGGCCGCTGCTGTAAACAAACCGGCGTGTGTGCATCATAGACTGTAAGTGCACATGGATCCCAAAGCTAAAACGAGAAAGAGTCGATAACAAGACTGGACTAAGAATGAGAATGAACATTTTCTTTCAGTCAATGAGGAAGGACTGCTTCATGTTTGTAATGAAAAGTTTTGTTGCAACACGAGGAACAATGACGCGCAAAACGACGTAAACGGTGATTACGTGAAGGATTCATCAAAAATTCAGAGTACCTATTTTCAGACTTCAAAACCTTCTCAAAGACGGTGAAAGGCCATTAAGGATTTTAATTCAGCTCCAGCAAACTTCAGCCTGTGACGTGATGGATATGAGCAGACAGTGATGCAGGTGTGTGACCTCTGAGCCCAAAGCAGATTGATTTACTGTATTTCTACAATTGCATGAAGGCAAAAAAATGGAAGTAAAACTAAAGCAGAGTGTTGCGTCATTCACTACACGCTGCAGTGAAAATACACATTTGATAATCATGAATGATTATTATGTATTTTTAGCCTTTACTTTGTCATTTAGATATTAGGCTAATATAGCTAATACATCTTGCAGCCTGTGTTAACTTCATAAAAGCCTTATACAAGGCTGTTATTTTTTTGGGGCTCCAGACAGATGTTTAGTTTTTTTGTCAATTATGGCTCTTTGAACATTTTGGGTTCCCGACCCCTGGTATAGAATCTGGAGATGTTGTTTGGTCACGACCAGAGCTGGAGGATGTTTTCTACAGGTTTTAACTGTTTTAACACATACACATTGGGAGAACAAGCTCCACTCAGAATTGCTATGTTACTATTGGAATTCAAACCCAGGACCACCTGAGAAACAAGTGCTGTGCATTATTCAATATTTTGTCAATTGGGTACCCTAGCTTTAATATAGAGCACTGCTGATTTTGATCACCATTTCAGTCCCTCCTTATCTCTCTGCTCCTTTGTGACGCCACTGTATACGGGGGTCGCATCAAACACAATCAAGCACCAAGGTTTCTTGTGACATGCCTCAAGTAAGGCCTGTCCTGGCCAGGTGAACTGGAGGTGTGAAGAAGGCGGAACCAGAGGTTTCGCTGCAGTATTTGTGCAGATCTGCACAATCTGCATGAGCATCACTAGCAGAAACATTGGGCAACCAATGGGCTGAGAGATCGCTGGGCTTCTCATTTTTATTCATTATTATGCACAAATGACATTCTAGAGCACAGGTCTGGTGGCCAGCATTTGGCCTGCCCACAATTTTTCTGATGCCTACCATATTTAGGGGTCCCTGAAATTATTTTTCATTATTACTATTAACTTGCAGCATTGATAGTAAAGTTAATATGAGCCATCATGACGTATTATACCTAATTATAAACAGAATTGAATAAAACCAAAAACATTTTTTTCATTCAAAAATATTTGTAAAACCTAAAATGTTAATAAAAAAAATAACAATTCTTTGCTAATCCTTTCACTTTGAGTTTTTTGTTCAGAATAATTTAATTCCTGAGTTTGTCAAATTACTTTCTAGTAAAGTAATCTTTTGGTCAAAATACCTTGATAATGTAAAAAGAAAATCAAAAAATATCCAGATATAAAAGATGAGCTTAAAAGAAGAAAGCTTTTTATTGTTTCAGAAATTGGTTTGACACCCCTACTCTAGAGCAGTGGTTCCCAAAGTGGGGGTCGCAGGAACCAAAAAATAAAAAAATTGAACAAATATATAGCCCCTACAAAAATATTTTACGTTGATTCAAAAGGACTACTTGTTAAATTGTGTTTGGAGAAGAGTCTGAAAAAATATTTTAATTACGTTTGCAATTTTGTCCCAGTCATTGACAGCGTCAATCAAAATCAAGTTACGCAGCATAGCGCGACAAAGCGTGTCCTGCTGTTGTTTGCTAAAGCATAAAGCTGCACTAACTGACTTTGGGATTTTGAAGCCGCAGACTCACTGCCTCGCTCTTTCTCCTCCCGTCCCCGCACCCACGGCTATCGCCCCCCCACACACACCCACTTTTGTTGATGGAGCTAGCGTCTCCCAATATGGATAATACATGGATATGCACGTGAATGGCGTGACCATAGAACCGGGAAGCTCGGAGGAACGAGACTTTCTTTTGGATGGCTGTCTCGCTGTGTAAGCAGTAACCGGTGACGCAGACGAGGAAGTTTCAGTTTAGCTCCGCTGCTTGTTGTGCTAACTCAGCTGTCTGTGCTAACGGACCTGTAGATTTCTCACGTAAGTGGGGGCTAGTAGTCCACTGTGATTGGTCACAATCTGCGACCCGAAACACATTCTCTTCCTTGTTTCATCAAAACTCGATCTAAAATATAATGTCACGCCAGCACAAATCTGCGCTACTTTTTCTTCAAAAGGACGTATATCCCAATGCATTGCATGGATAGCCTTTTCGTAATGAATACGAAAATAAAGTCAGTTAGTGCAGCTTTAAGGTGTTTGGAGGCTACAGACAAATACCTGCTTTAAAATGAAATGTGGTTAATATCCACAACAGAAAAACCCGTATGGGGAGAAAAGTCACATGTGCCAGAGGTCAGGCTGATTGTGCGAAGGGAGAGAAGGCAGTGGAGAAAAGAGGCCCGGCTTTTCGGAGTCAGCACTAAAGAGGTCCACACATTAAAAGCGGGTGGCCGCTTTATGCTGCTACTTGCGGTTAGGTTGGAAAGAAGCCGCGGGGATGAACCGCCACAATGCACTTTTTACTGTAAGTAACAGCACAAAGCGGCCACCCGCTTTTAATGTGCGGACCTCCTTACCGCTGACTCCGAAAAGCCGGGTGTCTTTACCGCGGTTGGAGAACAGTGAGGGCGAGCCGCAAGAAATGCCCTCCACCTCTGCTAAGGGGGGAGCCCACCAAGCACATCACTTGCGTCACTACGCGAGTAAAAATACGCAAGGCTCTTATTTTGGGCTGGCGAGTGCAGCTCTGTAGTGGCGCAAGTCTCTATAAAAGGGTTACTCCGAATCAAGGAAATACGTGCTCATTTCATGTGACGGGAAGGGCTGTTGAGGTGGGGGGTCGCGGGGGAGCAGCGCATTTATCATGGGGGTCGCGGGCAAAAAAAATTACGAACACCTGCTCTAGAGGAAAATCAAAGAGACAAGAATATAAACAAAGATGCATCGCGTCGCCTGCCTGCATGTGCTCTACACGTACTTTGGTGAAAGTGCAAGGCCATAACATTGTATTTGTAAAAGCAAGCCAACTATCTTAATTCAGGTTAACTTTCTGAATAAGCGTAGATATCTCAGAGTTCCGAGATTAGATGAAACCATCTTACCTCAAACACTGTGAGGGCAAAGGGGTGTCCCAGGAACTCTGAAGACTGCAGCACCTTCTTGCGGTTGTCCCCATTTAGGTCCACACTGCTGAGCATGTGTAGCTTGGAGTCCACCCAGTACAGACGCCCTTTAATCAGATCTGACAGACAGAAATGTTACTAGAGCAGTGGGAGGTGGTGGTCACTCAGCTTTGTGGTCACAATCTCGGCCATGTGGTCACTAGTGCTGGACTTACCAAGGGTGATCCCATTTGGCCACTGGATGTCCGTGGCCACCAGCACTTTTCTGTCCATGCCGTTCATTCCAGACTTCTCGATCTTTGCTGGTTCCCCCCAGTCTGACCAGTACAGAAACCTAAACACAGGGAAGAGCAAACAAAATCTTTAAGCATTAACACATGTTAAATATTGTCGATTCAGAGGAATGCCTAAGAAGCCTATTGAGACAGTGAAAGGAACAATGATTTTGATGTTTTTTTCCTCAAATGCTGATTTGCTACAAATTAGACAACTGTCCACCTTCTTCCACCAAAGAGTCGAAACAGAAATAAATCAAAACCTGGCGCCAGCCGCTGCTGTGCAGCCAGTCACTTGGCTCTCTCCTCTTTCCTACCTTTTCTCCATTTATTTCTTGTAAATTTGTTTTTTTGAATTTATTTTTCTTTGAAGTACGCGGTACATTGTGCATTTGTGCACATGGGAAGCCTAGTCTTTCTGGACTTTTCCCTGGACGTATTATGTTTTCGGCACTTTTGGATTCCTCCGCACCCATATGCACAGCGGCACATGTCCGATTGTTTACACCCCGAAGCAGCTCCTCGGACTAAGACTCTTTCCTGCACGCCGAGAAGCCGGTAATCCCTGTGGAGATACGCAGGAGACGCAGAGGCTACAGAGGGGGCCCCATGGGAAACGTACGTTCAATCTCCAACAAGATCGTGGAGCTGGCCACACACTGGCCCGCCATCAGAGGGAATACAGACAGTGTGGACTCATGTGTTTCTCTGACACGCGGCTGTGTGAGAATGTTCCGGACGCTGTGGTCTCTCTGGAGGGATGTGTGTGGAGGGGAGCAGAAAGAGGAAGAGCGGGGGAGTCGTGGTATAATGAGAACTGGTGTAAACCGGCTCACGTCTATGTGACTGAACGGATCTGCACCCGGGATCTGGAGCTGATAGCTCCAAGTATGAGGCCCAGATATTTGCCTTGGGAGTTCCCGCAAACCATGGTTTTAAGTCTGTACATCCCTCCCATGGCTGACTCCGCTGCTGCTTGTGAGCATCTCCGGACACACTCTTGAGGTGCGAAGACATCCAGAAGAAGTCTGTTACAGTGTGGCGTGAAGAGGCAGAGGAGAGACTGAGAGATTGTTTTCAGACCAGACTGGAATATGATTTGCAGCTCTCATGGACATCAAAAGCCTGACACACTGCATAACAGACCCTATTCTCTTCTTTGTGGATAACCCTGTACCGACCAGGCAGAGTCAGTGTTTTTCTAACAACCACTCATTGGGTGACCCCTGAGCTTAAAGCCCTCCTGAACCTCAAGAAAAGGGCTTTCATCTCAGGGGACAAAAAGGAACAGTGGAGGATCAGGAGGGCCAAGAAGGTCTATGGGGAAAATCTGGAACAGAAGCTGGCGGAGTTCTAAAAGAACATCTCCGGATTCTGCCAGAGTGCCAGTGGATGGAGAACCAGCGCCGGGCATATGAATTTAACCAATATCTTCTGAGGAGGCTGAGGTCCTTCGGAGTGAGCAGGCCTCTGCTCAGGACCTTTTATGACTCTGTGGTAGCTTCTTCCATACACTACGCTGCCATGTGCTAGGCCCCTAGCACCTCCCACCCACTGCACAGGACTGTAAAAGGAGCTGAGGAGTTCCTTTAGTGGATGACTGAGGCACCCTCAGTGCAAGAAGGAGCACTACCGCAGGGCCTTCATCCCCACCGCTGTCAGACTGTACAATAGTCACTAATGACCTGCACTAGGACTGAAGAACCAGCACTGCTTATTGCGGTGTTTTTCAACCTTTTTTGAGCCAAGGCACACTTTTTTCATTGAAAAAATCTTGCGGCACACCTCCAGGAGAAAAATATATACTATACATACTCTATGTGAGATCAATAAAGTACATATTATCTTATATATAGTCTGTAGCCTATATTCACAATACAGTTATTCTCAAAGTGCTTAAGTCCAGACCTTGACATTAAGCTTTTTTTAATTTTTCTCAATACAATGAGGTGGCACCAACTGTGTGGAAAACAACCAAAGAAAATCCACTCTCTGCCTAAATAGTCAAATAACAACTCAGGGGGCTCTTAAGTACACAAATAACATGCATTGTTAGTGCATGGGGAAAATTTAGGTATCCAAGCTTTGAATTCAGGAGTTTTGGATGAGGGACACGGGAGGTCCTGAACGCGAGACCATGGTTCTGTCTGGTCCGCATGTCTATATAGTTCTGTCTGCGCGTCTATGGTTCTGTCCACGCGACTATGGTCTGCACTCGGTATCCAGTTCCGATGTGCGTTCGCGTGACTGTTGTACAAAAATTTTACATTTCATAGTTAAACCACTACAACGCGGTCACAGCTGCCCCGGGGCAGAGCGGAGGATGTGAATCCTGTTCAGAAATGGCGTAATTCCTTTTCAAAAAGGTCTCCATCACTTTCACGTCACTTGCCACAAAGCTCTTGTCTCGCTACCTCACACATTTGTTGGTCGTATCCAATTTTACGTTTCTCGCCACAACGCTCCCGCTACCTTTTACATCCAGGGATCGCATACAATTTTTCAGTTTCAAAGTACATAGCTATCTGCTGCCATCTACTGATATGAAAACGTTTTACATGGTTACGCCACAGTTCAAAACAAGTCACCGCTCGCCAACAGCGAATGCAGTTATTTTTAGACAAAGACGAATTTCTCACGGCATATCAGACAATATCATACGGCACAGTGGTTGAAAAACACTGGCTTAAATTGTACATAATTATATCTTGCAGACTATATTTTGAACCTCAACATGTTTGCACACTTTTTGCATAATCTGAGTGATTCCATCAATGCCAAATGTGAGAATATTAATTTCCCTTTGATAGATTTTAACACTTTATTAACCCCCATCTTTAAATGCTGCTTGTTATGTTCACAGTGTGGACTCCTGGGAGGTGTGCGCGTAACTGACCCGGAGAGGGGGTCCACAGCGATGGAGGCTGGCTCCTTCAAGCCGCGGTCCAGCAGAACCTTGTGCTTGGTGCCATTGAAGGTGGACACAGAGATTGTCTTGGTCTGCAGGTCGGACCAGTACAGGTGTTGGTAGATCCAGTCAACAGCCACGCCCACCGGAGTCTGCACGTTGGAAATGACTTTGGTGTGAACGCCAGGGTCACCACGCCTGTCCAGAACAGTGCTGTAGCACACACACACACACACACATTATGGGACAACCGGGTGAATACTTGTACTAGCACAGTGCAGACCTATCTGTAGAGGGCCTCGTGTCACAGGCTGAGCACAGTGCAGACCTACCTGTAGATGGCTTTGTGTCCCAGGTCGGCCCAGAAGATGGTATTGTGGCTGAAGGCTGCATCCAGGGCTACAGTGTTCCTCTGCTGCTCCACGATCTGCGTGTACTCACGGCGCTCCAAGCTCAGGCGCCGGATGTCCCTGCGGTTGGTGAAGATCAGGCTGGGCTCCTTCCCTACACAGCAAGGCAGCAGAGTGAGGCATGATCAACCATTATGACGATAAGCCAAAGTGTTGGGTCATTACTTTTGCCCAGGATTTAAAAGGAAACATTTTACGAGGACTTTAAGTGTATGTTCAAACTGGAGCCACAGATGCCAGGAAACAGCTGATCTTATCAATCACCACATGTTTTTATTGTTGTTACTATGGTTCTGCAAAGTAGTGTCCTCCAGGTTTAAGACCACAGAGAAGGCCCTGTCCCCCAAGTTTAAGACAACAGAAATTCTGTTATACAAGGATGATTCAGCAGATGTACGTTTCCCTGGGTCGGAGCAATAAGTGGGTCTGAATATAGCGTGAATATACTTGCGTCTTTCATCATATCATTTCAGGTGCCCTTTACTTACTATGTCATAATCTCTATACTCACCGACAGCCTTGCACACCCCGCTGGTAGGGTCCATCTGGTATCCGTTATGACACTCACACTTGTAGCCCCCCTTCAGGTTGATACAGATCTGGCTGCAGATGCCCGGATTTAAACACTCGTTTATGTCTGAAAAAAAAGTTCCAGTCGGTTGACATTTGCACCTTTAATAATACACCATCCACATTTGAACGTCACAATGTTGTCCCGTCTTCAAAAAGAGACCTGGAGCCACGCTTTGAAAACTTGAGCATTTAGACAAACTAGTCACACTTAAAACATACTACAAAAAAATTACCAAACTATCCTTAACTATCCATGGACAAAACTCCTGGAACATTTTTTAAGATCGCAAATACATTTACTTTTAAATGTCAAACTTGTTTCCCGTAGAATCTACAGTAGTTGGTGAAATATTTTAGTATTAGATTAACTTGTTGGAAATACTCACACCTTGGAGGATGTGCTGTCAAAGGGCATTGAGCATCTACCAGGTTTACATAAGCACAAGGGGATATTTGATACATGCCTAAGTTGATCCGAGTCAGCTATGCGTCAGAAACATTAGCAACTTAAAGCTGCACTAACTGACTTTGGGATTTTGAAGCCGTGGACTCGCTGGCCTCTCTTTCTCCTCCCCTCCCCGCACACACGAAGCTATCGCCCCCCACACACACCCACTGTTGGGACGGAGCTAGCGTCTCCCAATGTGGATAAATACATGGACATGGATTTGCACGTGGATGGCGTGACCATAGAAAGATACAACCGGGAAGCGCGGAGGAACGAGACTCTTTTGGATGGCTGTCTCGCTGTGTAAGCAGTAACCGGTGACGAAGACGAGGAAGTTTCAGGTTAGCTCCGCCGATTGTTGTGCTAACTCAGCAGTCTATGCTAACAAGACCTGTAGATTTCTCACGAAAGTGGGGGCTAGTGGTCCGCTGTGATTGGTCACAATCTGCGACCCGAAACACATCTTCCTTGTTTCATCAAAACTCGATCTAAAATATAATGTCATGCCAGCACAAATCTGCGCTACTTTTTCTTCAAAAGGACGTATATCCCAATGCACTGCTTGGACATGGATAGCACTTTCGTAATGGATACAAAAATAAAGTCAGTTAGTGCAGCTTTAAGAGCGCCAACTCCTCGTGTGTCGGAAGTGCATATGGCACGCAGTTTCCAGTGTGTATGGTGCACGAGTGGCAGTGTGGCCATCTTTATTCACGCTGGCTAAATGAACGTGAACGCGAATGATGCGGAAGATTCCAGAACAAAGCACTGAATGCCATCAAAATATTTGGGCAACCGCCTTACATATTTCACAATCAAAACCTGTAATGCCAAAGTAACTAATCTTTACACACATCTCTTCCACACGGTGCAGACTGGTGATATCAATGGTAAACTACTATTGTTCCAGTGGCAGTGTGAGCAAACCTCCGCAGGTCTTGTGGTCGATGAGCTGCAGGCCTGGAGTACAGTCGCACTCAAAGCTGATCACCAGGTCTCTGCACAGGTGAGAACAGCCACCGTTGTTCAGCAGACACTCGTTCTGATCTGCACACAACACATCAGCTTAGGGAAGGTATGTCAAATTCAGGCCTGTGGGCCAAATCCAGCCTGGGAGACAGTTTTTAATGGCCCCTGAAATGATTTTCAATTATCATTATCACAGTAACTTGCAGGATTCATGGTCATGGGATACTATGGCATGTTATATTTCATTTTTAAGCTTACTTAGAAAAAAACAATGGTATAATTGAATCTCTAAAATGTTAACTTTCATGTAAATAGAAGTTATTGTTTTTATTATGTCCTGTACAGTGTCCTTGGGTGTTTTGAAAGGCGTATTATACTACTACTTTGATAATTGGCCCAGTTGTGATTGGACTTTTTCTAGTAAGTTTAGATTCAAACTCAAAAAACTCAAATATTGAATCAAATAAAGGAATTTGTCAAAATCAAATACATGTAAACTAGATCTTATGTTTTTAAACTTTGTCCCCGACCAAAATGAGGTTGACACCACTGGCCTATGGGAGGAAGTGCCAAACCTACAATGGAACCCCATCGTAGATAGGTTTAGGTCCTATCTAGAAGAAAGGAAGTATTGTGTGGAGATTGGAGACTATGTCTCAGATAATATGGCCCTGACCTGCGGAGTGCCACAGGGGTCGATTCTGGGACCTCTCCTGTTCAATATTTACATGCTGCCATTAGGTCAGTTAATTCAAAGTATGAAAGTGTCCTACCACAATTACGCTGATGACACTCAGATCTATGTCTCACTGACTGCAGGAGAGCATGGACCGGTGGACTCACTCCTTCGCTGTATCCAGCGGATCAGTGAGTGGATGCAATGCAATTTTCTCCAGCTAAATGCGGACAAAACCGAAATGATTGTCTTTGGTCCCGAGAAACAAAGAGAGACCGTCATTTGTCACCTTCAGTCTCTCTCCCTAAGGCCTTTAAATAAGGTCAGAAATCTGGGAGTAATAATGGACTCTGACTTAAACTTCAATAGCCACATTGGATCGGTAACATCAGCAGCTTTTTATCATCTGAAAAATATTGCCAAAATTAAAAATATTGTGTCCAAAGCAGACTTGGAGATTCTTATCCATTCTTTTGTTTCCAGTAGGCTGGATTACTGCAATGGCCTGCTCACAGGTATCTCCAAACATGCAGTAAAACAGCTGCAGTATATTCAAAATGCTGCAGCCCGAGTCCTGACTAGAACCAGGAAGTACGACCACATTAGTCCGGTCCTCAGGTCTCTGCACTGGCTTCCCGTGGCCCAGAGGATAGACTTTAAAGCAGCTCTCCTGGTGTACAAGTCTCTCCATGGCCTTGCACCAAAGTACATCCATGATATGCTAGTCCCATATGAACCAGCCCGGACTCTGAGGAGCGCAGGGACGGGACTCCTGTTAGTGCCCAGAGTCAGGACTAGACAGGGGGAGGCTGCTTTTCAGATTTATGCAGCTAAAGTCTGGAACAGTCTTCCTGAGGATGTGAGACTGGCTGCCTCTCTGTCAATGTTCAAATCCATGTTAAAGACTTTTCTTTTTTCCTGTGCATACAACTAGAGAATTTTATCTTTTTAACACACCTTGTTATTTATTGTTGTAACTTTGTGTTTTTAACTATTTTATTGTTTTTAATTACTTGTGTGATTCTTATGTTTTTAAATTACTTATGTGATTTTAATGCTTTTTAATTACATATGTGTTTTTAATTGTATTTTAATGGTGATGATTTGTGCATTGTGTGGTGTGGACTGTGAGGCGCTTTGTGTTGCCCTGTGCAGGAAAAGCGCCCTATAAATAAAGATTGATTGATTGATTGATAGATAGATTCAGATCAATATAATGTCCCCACAAACATGACCAAAATGCAGGTGAGAGAGTGGGTGTGATACTGACTGCAGTCCTTGATGGGCTCGTCGCTCCAGTCGGGACAGTCCCGTGCTTTATTGCACACTTTGCTCATGTCAATGCACTCCCCGCTGCGGCACCGGAACTTGTCTGGACCTGAGCACTGGGTCGCTGTGGGGACAAGACACGCATGGGCAATTTCGCTCAAAACTTTTTATAATTTAGCGGAACAAAAAAGGAGATAATTCTCCTTTATTGGTAACAAAATAAAGTTGCAATACAAGTATTAGTCTGATGGAGATCGTCATTACATACTGAGCTCATCTTCATTGTTCCCCTTGTCATTTCCAGTTTGAGTTCCATTCATGGATGAGTCAAAGATTTTCAACCAAAGGGGCATAAGCACATATCCATCTGAAAGGACTACATATGTATTTGTTTGGGATCAATAGAGATAGCAATGTTATAAAAAGAATCACCTCAAATTATACAAAATATTGCAGTTAGTGTGAATAAGACAGAATTTAAAAGGGGACATTATGAAAAATCCACTTTTTGTGCCTTAAATGCCTTATGTTGTGTAGTTGGAGCCTCTAGAAGTGCAAAAAAGTTGAAATCAGTCTCTTCATGGGTTGCAGAGAACACTTCATATTCTGTTTAGGTAAGATTTTTCAACCCGTTCTGATTTTGCCATTCTCCATTACGTGTTTAGAATTATTACGTCACAGTATTTGCAGCGAGACTGCTATATGAGGGCATGGGCGTCTAACTAAACACTTCGGCCCAGCCCTCCTCTACTGTGCATCACTTAATTTGTAGTCCAAGCTCAAGGATGCCAGCGAACAGGGCTAGACTGGCCAAAGGGCCGACGCCCATATTTGGGCCGATCTCTCTGCCTCATACAAAACACATGTTTATGAGAAGTGTAAATCCGTTGAGAATTGCGCGTATCCGAGGGGCACCTGCTGTATGTACTCGAACGGGATTCCGCCACCTCAGCGGCCGCAGTGTTCCGGGGCATCTGCGGCCGCTTTGTAATGAGCAGCTTCCGCGTCCAGCCGCTCGCAGCCGCTCCACCGTGTTGTGGCTGAGCGCGCAGCCTCAACGTGGCCATGTACCCAACCCCATAAACGCGCACAGGACCATGCGTGTCTTTGAGTAATCTGTGCACCCAATAAATACACTGCTGCAGGAAACAGTCCGCGTCTCCCCTCTCGAAGCGCGATTAAACGCCCTAAATAAAGCTCTGATACCTACATTTTGCATTGCATTAAAAGTTCATGTTTGAGCCCAAAAGTAATATGTTGTGAACAAATTAAACAGATTTAGAGCCAGCAAATGGCTGACAATATGCATTTCAGTCTTTGACCAATTCTCATCCCTGTAACAAACAATAGTGTTGTCTGTGTCCACCTCCCTCACTCTGAGACATGTTTATTACTCTCTTGTAATGCAGACTATTGCATTTTATTTTATTGTTGAAACTGCACATATCCTGATCCTCTACAGTATTTGCTTCCACATACTGTATAAACCAGGGGTCGGCAACCTGCGGCTCCGGAGGCACATGCGTCTTTTTCCTTCTGTAGAAGGAAAAACGTTAACGTTTTTAAATGCTGTGAAAGTGTGCATAAGTAATATTCAATTTAAACATTTCTGTCAAACCGGCGTGTGAGCATCATAGACTGTGCGCATTGATCCCAAAGCTAAAAAGAGAAGAGTCGATAATAAGACTGGACTAAGAATGAAAATTAACATTTGCTTTCAGTCAATGAGGAAGGACTGCTTCATGTTTGCGATGTAATGAGACGTTTCTATGAGATAATTGTATCTGTGCTTAGAAACTACAAAAATGGCCGCTCGGGGTGGAGTTGAACCTGTGTCACCTGGATGGGGGCGTGGTCAAAAGCGCCTCATTTGCATTTAAAGAGACAGCACCAAAACAGGTTGCTCTCAGACGCACCTCAGAACAGGTGTAGAAGAAAGGCCCGTGGAGCTACAATTAATGAGACTCAGACCCAGGCATTGCAGTTACGCTTTATATAGGCCACAAATTAATGATTTAGATGTGAAAATCAATTATTTGAAAACACGATATGTCCACTTTAAAAAAGAACTACTTTCCAAAAAAAAAAAAAAAAAAAAAGATTGAGTCATCAAATAAATAGCATTGTATTAATATTTCTCAGCAACCTAAGATGTGGAATGTATAAATGTATTGTATGAATTGAATAATCTTTAGAGTGATTTCGTATTAACCATTCTCATGAACAGTGTTGGGCACGTTACTTTGAAAAAGTAATTAGTTATAGTTACTAGTTACTTCTCCCAAAAAGTAACTGAGTTACTAACGGAGTTACTCCACTATAAAAGTAACTAGTTACCAGTCTCTGTGCTGTAAGCACTAAACACCAACACCCGCCACTGTGAATGTGGAAACACCGGTGAAGCACCGACTTCAGCCCAATCAGATGAACATATATATCATACAAATCAACTGGACCAAGAGAGCGGCTTATTCACAGTTTGTTTGGCTACAGCAAAATATGTTTCATGCCCGCATTGTTTGTTCATACAAAACGCAAAACTATGAGTTATGGGTCTTACCTTATAAATGACCTTCACAGACCACTTCGGTTCACACCAGTTCCTTGTTTAAGTCCAGATAATAGTTTGAGCGTAGATATGTAATCCTCCATTTGAAAATGAGTCCAATGAGTTTTAAAAAGTAAAACAAAACGCGCGTCTCCTCCATAAACTCCTGTTTTGCTAGCTGCAGCCGGGTGCATCCAATTTCTAAAATAAACAGTCTTACACTTCACCTCCCTTTCTTATCATTCCAATAGTCATTGAAAAATTACCCTAAGGTGCATTTTAAATTATCTTAAAATGTGTTATATGTATGTTAGCCAAACCTGTTGCTGTCCTAAGCAGATAAACCAGGAAGAGAAAAGAGCTTGTCGATGGAATTGTATGCAGCCGACTTCACATGCGCTCCTCTGAGGCTGGCCTCACGGTGATACAAGCCGTGGTTGAGCGCAATTAAGACCCATATTTGTTTCAAAAACACAATTTATGAGCCATCCTCTCAACTGTAGACATGTAGATTGTAAAGGAAATATGTTTTACATCAGCCAATAATTGCTGAGAGGTTTTCTCATCCTCCCTTCTCTCATGACAACACGCGCAGGAGTCCCATCACGAAGTAAGAAGAGAAGTTCATTGTGCGTCTTGAGTAACGCGCAGTAACGGGATGTCGGAAATGATAACGGCGTTATAGTCAAAGTAATTAGTTAGATTACTCGTTACTGAAAAAGTAACGGCGTTAGTCGTTATTCCCATCACTGCTTATGAATCCCTTAACTATTATTTAGTTATACAACCCGTTTCTGAGAAGTGTTCTACATCTGTGTAGCATGCTTATCAACTCCTTTGCATCCTCCAGCCAGGGATAAAAACATTCCACAATTCCTTTTTTATACTTTTTTGTGTTGAGCCAACAGTTGAAGACTTGTATGCAGTAGGCGTTATGCAGTAGGCGTTATGCAGTAGGCGTTAAGCAGCAGCGTGCCCTCACCGTTGCGACAGTGGAGTTCATCGGAGCCGTCTGCGCAATCCCTCAGGCCATTACACTGTCTGCTAGCCACCACACAACTGCCGTCGTCACACTTGAACTGCTCCGGAGTGCAAGAACGCGTAGCTGAAAACACATGCACAGCTTTGACTTCATCAATACCTAGACCAAGGGTGTCAAACGGTCCTCAAAGGGCCACTGTGACATCAGGTTCTCACTTCAAACAAGCAACCAAGCTGGAGCACACCAGACTCCAGGTTAGGTCTGGGCTAATGGTGGAGTCTGCTGTAGTCCTTGGTTGGAATGAAGGCCTGGAGCCACACAGGCCCTTCTGGAACCAGTTCATCACCCCTTACTTAGACTCACAACAGACAAACATGGTATTAAAAGCACACACAGGTTTGCTCTGACAGATTGTTGTAAGGATTAAAAGTCGCAGAGCTTACGACAGTTAGCCTCGTCACTGCCGTCCTTGCAGTCCGCGTCTCCGTCACACCTCCACTTGCGGTGGATGCACTCTCCAGAGCCACACTGCATCTCACTAGCTAAGCAGCGCGAGGGGGGCGTGGGGTTGTGGCCGCAGTGCGAGGGCGCCTCGTCTGACTGGTCCTGAGGAGACGGCCACATGGTCAGTCACATGTGGCACATTGTCAAGCTTCTGTATCCCCCACTGCGACAGGGTGGTTTTTTTCTTAAAATTTGGTAAAATCTTCTTATATACAGTACAGACCAAAAGTTTGGACATACCTTCTCATTCAAAGTTTATTTTCATGATTATGAAAATTGTAGATTCACACTGAAGGCATCAAAACTATGAATTAACTCATGTGGAATTATGTAGGTAAAAAAATAATAAAAAAATACAAAAAAATTAAACAACTGAAATGTCTTATATTCTCGGTTCTTCAAAGTAGCACCTTTTGCTCTGATTACTGCTTCGCACACTCTTGGCATTCTCCTGATGAGACTCAAGAGGTAGTGACCTGAAATGGTCTTCCAACAGTCTTGAAGGAGTTCCCAGAGATACTTGGCACTTGTTGGTCCTTTCGCCTTCACTCTGTGGTCTAGCTCACCCCAAAACCATCTCGATTGGGTTCAGGTCCGGTGACTGGAGGCCAGGTCATCTGGCCCAGCACCCACCACTCTCCTTATTGGTCAAATAGCCCTTACACAGCCTGGTTGTGAATCTACAGTCAATAGTCATGAAAAGAAAAACTAATTCAATGAGAAAGTGTGTCCAAACGTTGGCCTCTTTAATGAATAAATTAAACAAACCATAGTATTTATTGGTACATAGATTATTTAGTTCAAAAGATGTTGTATATTTAAGAAATAAGACATGTTAGGCACATTGTTTTTTCTTTGACATTGCAATTTGTAAAATTAGGTACATGTACAAAGTTGCAAGAGTCCTTGTCACTGTCACCAAGCACCATATTTAAAGTGGTCAGAGCTTTATGACCTTTATGCTATTGTGCCATCTCTACGCATGTGCTGTGTAAGCGTCCCGCTGTGAGCTGGCTTCTGTGTTGGGGTACCTGGCAGTCCACGTCATCGTCACAGACCCAGCTGGAGGGAATGCAGTAAGAGTTTCCGCACTGGAACTCTGCTGGCCCACAAGAAGCGGGCGCACACTCCACCTCGTCCGAGCCGTCACCGCAGTCATCTTCGCCATTACACACAAAGTTCTGAGAAACACAGCGGCCGCTCACACATGTGAACTCATTCAGAGCACACGTCACGTTACCTGCAGGGACAGTCACAAAGAGCAGCAGTGAGAAGAACAAATATAATGACTTATTTGTAGTGATGGGCAAACAATAGACGCTCTGGCGCTTGTGTCGCTCATCCTGTATTGAAACACACCGGACACGTGACAAACATGTCAGTGTCTTGGACACTGCTTCACTTTGCATCAACTGTGTCGGTGTGTTGAAGCGTTTCAGTAGCTCAATGAGTTTCCCTGCTTTGCATTGGTTCAGAGTTACGACACGCCTCCATGGTTTGCTTTCAGCGGATAGGCACATTATAAATGATGCATCAATATTTCTGTACAATGTTGGTTAGTGAGGAGATGTGTTGTACAGTGTTGTACAGTGTTGTACAGTGTTGTACAGTGTTTGGGACTTTTGGCAACTTTGGAGGCATCTATAATTGGAAAACGGAGATCCAGGGTTTGGGATCATTTTGATATCAAAAATTGTCAGGATGATTTTTTCTTTATTTTTTTAAAGCTGGTGCCAAACAAGTTTCTTAAATAAAAAAGTGATATCTGCATGAAGTGCAATCATTTGTTTAAATCTAAAAACAATATACAGTATATAAACAAAACTTGTTCATTTAAGGATCCCTTTAAAACTAACAAAATGTCAACAGTACACCCATGTTATGCTGCAGCAGGTGGGTTCTCTAGTCATAGTTATGTGAGAAGATGACACAGTAATACATTGAAATCGCGTGTGGAACAATGAATCAACTTCTGGTGATACAAGCTAGTCTGAGCTAGCGCAGAGGCTTCAACACATTTGAAACAGTCTGGCAATGAAAGCCTCAGTGTGTTGGGGGCTTCATATGCCCATCACCATTTTTTTTTGTTTATTTGCGTTTTTGCCCTTAAAACATGAACTATGAAACATGATATGAACAATGGTAGTAACTAACCCTGTCAGACCTGGAGTTGCATTTAGCTCCCCCACTCAAATTATAATAAAGCACCGTAGAAGTACATTGTACTTCTGTAATATGGCACAGAAGCACGTTTAGCTTCCATTCCGCAAATACAGGTGTGTCTGACGGAAAAGGCAGCGTTGCCGACGTACCACAGTCAAGCTCATCCTCCCCGTTGTCGCAGTCCTTCTCCCGGTCACACTTCCAGAACAGAGGGATGCACTGTGTGGAGCCTGCAGTGCAGCTGAACTCATTGAACCTGCACGTCCTCATGTCTACATACACAGAGAGAAAACATGTGGTCGGATTTGTTCAACACATTTCACTTTAACAAGACAAACCAGATGGATTATTAAGATAAGCTTTATTGTGAGATAAAGCTTCACAATAGGGGCGACAGTAGCTCAGTTGGTAGAGCATTGGCCTTAAGGCCAGAAGGTCGTGGGTTCAATTCCCACCTCTGCACCTTCTCCACCGACTCCCACTGATGACTGCTGTCGTTGTGTCCTTGGGAAAGACACTTAACCCCACTTTGCCCAAAGCCCCCACTGAAAGATCAAGGCTATGCTCACACTCAGAGCAGCCGTCCTCCTGTGGACTCACCACCTGCAGAGGGTCAGTGAGGGGCAGGTGCTATGAGACTTGGGTGGCATCTCTGACTGCCACCCCCCTGACCCAGAATTGGATTAAAGGGGTAGAAAATGGATGGGATGGATGGATAATATTATAGTATAGATTCTTTTTTCATGTATTGTACTGTATATGGTAATTTGGATTTGGCAACCGTCACCGTGTCTAATCCACCCTTGTCAACTGTTGCGGACTATGACTACAGAGCAGGTGCAGGAATCCATCTGCACACCGTCCTCTGACCAGAGGCTAGTTTTACTAAAATGTAAACTAACCTCTGGTCAGATGGCTCCTTGGACGGACTGGAATCTCAATACTTTCAGTGCAAAGTTCTTGGGAACTGGGATGCATTTATTAGCCTCATTTACTCTTTAATGTGTACTCTTTAAGTACTGTGACTATTGCATCTGTTTAGAAGAGGATGTTTTTAAGTTTTGTTGTTAAAAAGCAGAATGTTTTGCACATTTGTAGACTTACAATAAACATCACATTGACTGTCAGTTTCATTTGGAATATTTCATGTCGCAACAAATTGAGATCCCAAGGCGTATCATATCGTTGCACGAGATACAAATCACATAACGTATCACACATGTTACAGCCCTCTTAGGATACCCTATTAGTGCTGTTACATCACACCAAAGGCTATTTTTCAGGACTCAAGATGGTCAGAGGAATCCATCACATAAAGCAGCGATTACAGAAAACAAATGCAACGTCTAATGTAGCATGTGCCCTTTAAGCACTACCTCGAGCAATAGGTGTAGACTGATATTACTGCACAGTGAGTTTGGTGTTCTTGAGATTCCCAGGCCCAAGTCCTGAAGGAGAGGTTAAAGGAGCTAGGAATGAGACACTCGATCTTAAGAGTATTCTAGAGAAAGGCAGTAGGGCACAAGTAGTGGCATTGTTTTTTTTAAAGGAAACTGGAGTGTATGAGAGGATATAGGTTATTTTAGTAGCATAGGGTGCTAGAAGGGATTATTTTTGATTTTTTGATTTATTTTTGTATTATTCCCTTCCCTTGTTGGGACCATAGACTGTTTGGGTTTTAGATTGTGAGCTTATTGTCTGACCCACTCAGTAACAGAAGGTGGCGGTAATGGCTCCACTAGTTGGCTGCCACCCGCCGTAAAACCCAAAGAAGAAGAAAGGCTACTAAGGGGATAGAATAATTTGTCTGTAATAAGGAAGAAAAACCTTCCATCTGAAAAAGCATTGAAGTTGAAACATGGTTCCTTTCAGTTTTTCAATTATTCAATACACACTGCCCAGAATGACTCCGTAAGAAGCAGATCAAGTTCCAGGATTGGCCTAGCTATTCTCCTGATCTCAACCCAATAGAAAATCTGTGGCAGGAGTTGAAAGTGTTTCCCAGTGACAGCCTCAAAATGACTTGACAATAAACATTACATTAAAAGTATTGAGAAGAACTTTTGTTATTGGTCAAATACTTCAAATTCTGCACAATTATACAAATTTATTGTTTATTGATCCTTACATTACTCACAGTTGAAGTGTACCTAATGAAAATTAACCTGTCTAATGTTTTAAATTAGGGACAACTTGCACAATCGGCAACTGCCAAATTATAGTTGGGTCCCCTGTTGCAGTGTAGGAGAGGAACACTCACGGCAGACGTCCTGGGCCTCATCAGAGCCGTCCTCACAGTCTGGCTCTCCATCACACTGCCACCGCACTGGCACACAACCCCCACTTTGACACACAAAGTCTGAGCCCGCACACGTCTTTTGCACTGAAACACACAGTCACACACAGCATCATCACCAGTCGCACCGCTTGGTCACCAGGAAAAGAACTTACGTAAGGGCAACATGAATGGAGAAGTGCAGTCAGCAAAAAGGAAAAAAACTATTTTGAGGTGAAAAACTTTGTAGATTTCTCCTGTGTGAGATTAATGAAGTACATCTTCTTCTTATGCAAAACCACACTTGCATGTTCATCCTCGACAACTCGAGTAGCTCATTGCTAGCCTGGCCTTAGCCATCCCTACATTTTCGCTCAATCATCATTTCCCTGCATGTAACGTCTGGGTCTGGTCCCCATGTTAGCGATTACAAATTGGTTGAATTTCGACCGACAAATCAGCGAGCGTGGGAGGTGGGTGTTGTAGTTAGTTGTGGGTGATGTCAAGAGTTTGCGTTGAACGGGCAGGTTGTAGTTTGTCAGTGGCGCAATATTGCGATATTAAATTAATCCGGTCTTGGTTCTATCAAGAAATTGAAGCAGGAGCAAGAGTAATGTTTGGCAAATAGTAATCGCTGGAAAAAAATTGTGGAGCTACTCCCCACGGGCTCCGTTAGCGGCAAAGGAGAGGGCTAGGCTAAATGCTAAATGCTAACGACAGACTCGGGCGCCCTACTAACGTCACGGTAAACTCAGATCCAATCGTTTCAATCTGCAAAAGGAGTTAAAACCCCTCCCCACCTGTAAACGGAGCTCAATGGAATGTAATTTGTACTATGGTGTGGTACGACCAGGCTAGCTCGTTGCAGGTCAGGGGATTAAAGTCCTATTACCCCTTAGTTTGGCTTATTGTAAAAAATCAACTAAGATTTTTATAGTGCATTACATTGACTCACCCCAATGGAGAAAATAAGTTTAAAATAGTGCCGTCAGTTGAACGCTGATAAAACAGCGTTAAACGCAGTTGTTGCACACTGTTGCAACAACTAGTAACTTTAAAAAAAACTACAACACCACTCCAGCTCTAGCTAGACAGAGAAACAAAACAAGTATGCTTGTGGTTCATAGCATGTATACACACCATATGGACTGTACCTACACACCGACGCGAGGATTCTTTTTTCGGCTGACGAGCACCTGGCTGCGCGGCGTGTCAGCATTTGTTGTGCTCCAGGCTTCTACAGCGGGCACGTATCTGAAATCAACCCCACAGCTGCGAGAGCTAACTATTATGAGGCCATAGCCCAATCATTGAAGCTTTAGTTATTTCCACTGCGGTGATAGTCACATACATAAAAAAAGACTTGAATGAAAGCAAAGAAAAGTGTAGCCTTTATTAGACAATTCAAGTAATTTCTTATTATGTTAAATAGTTCTAAAAGCAGATATTGAGTAGCCTCCATTAGACAAATCAAAATACTATCTTTTTGGAGGGGATTGTAATCATTAAGTTTTTTGCTTCATCCAAACACTTTTTCCCAAACAAAAACAAACATTTAGAACAGGGGAAAATTCTGATTTATCACAAGATAACTATCAAAAATGTCTATCGTTTGACAGCACTATTTTTTAAAAAATGTGTCTTTATTAGTTGCCAATATACAATTAATGAGCTAGCTAATTCGGGCTTTTCCCCCCGCTGTTTGTATTTATCATGGGTGTAAGAACGTTCAGTGTGTCTTCAGTGTGTTCTAAGGGGAAACATTGGTTTACGGGCTTTTCCCCCCGCTGTTTGTATTTATCATGGGTGTAATGAACGTTCAGTGTGTCTTCAGTGTGGTTCATAAGGGAAAACATTGGTTTAGGTACTACAAAAACATACTGTTGTTCCAATTGAAGATGCGTCTCATTGTAGCTGAATCAAAGGAAAGGTATTCATAAAGCAGTTTCGCAACACCATGGACACACTTTTTTCACTATTTAAATTAAATATACATTTACCTAAAAAGAAAAGAATTAAACACTAAGTGAGGCAGGAAGTGACCTGGCTTTAAGGTACTTACTTTTTTACAAGATGGGCTCATTTTCAAATGGAAGATTACATATTAACTCAAACTATTACCTGGACTAAAAAAATAAAGTGGTCTGAAGTGAAGTGATGTATGGAGTTAATTTATAAAAAGGTAGGCCCAGAAAAAAACACTTTTAAATGTGCTTTTTTATAGTTTATGTCTGCTCTTGCAAAGTTAATAATCCGCTCAGTAGGTCCTGTCGTGTGGTGTAAATCTGATTGTGATGAAGTCACACAGGAACCTCTGAACTACCTATCGAACATACTGTACATACACGCCTAAAGCATCAGGCATCATAAAAGAGGCTTTAGGCGCACACACACACGCCCCCGTCCCTTTCTACGAACACTGACCACAGGTGCCCTCCGTCGCTGCCGTCTGTACAGTCCTCGTCGCCGTCACACTGCCACACAGACGGGATGCAGCGGCCGTTTACACACTGGAACTGGTTTGGCTCGCATCAGTCACTGTACCTGAACACAACATAAGAATCCAATTAGGAAGCCATTTTTATTTCACAGCTGGCAATCACAAAGCACTTCACAATGTGGATGCATTATTCATTCACTTACTGAAGAACAATTGCCAACAGTCAAACACTAAAAATTCCAAGTTCTACCAGTACATGGAGCCGTTTGGCCACATCAGAAATGTACATTATACACACACACACACATATATATACACAGTAAAAATTAGTGATTGAACTGTCCATAGGACAGAAGACCAATATTAGCATAACATGTTTGAGGTGTTTATGATGGAGTAGCTTTTTCCACATTCTCAATTTGCTTGTTTGACCTGTGGGAGTATTAAGTATTCTCCAATTAGATTTTGAGTAACCAAGTAGTGGAACACACTAATCTGATTACTTTAAATAGTGATACACCCAACGCCATTTTGGAGATGAAGTGTAACAAATCTCCGAAAACACCCTGCCAAAAAACCAGCAAGAGTTTAGCCAATAAAATTGTCTTGTTTCCATGTGGGAGGATGACTGCCAGTCTTTGACAGTTAGTTAGTTACACAAAATTGTAATTTGAAGCCTTGCTATGGTGTGAATTGTACGCTATAGTCAGGTGAGTGGAGGGCCAAGATGATGATCTAAAAACGGCTTGTGACACAATTACAGAAGCTGACCCACATTCTGACAAGGCTGAGACTGAACAGACTTGTCTGTCATTGAAGGGCAGGGACCAGCTGCACAGGGTTATGTGGATGCTTCAGAGAGAAATACTGAAATAAACAAAACATTGTATGTCACTGACATACAGTATAGCAGGAGTGTCATTGTAAACCCTTTAGAGCTAAATTAATACTTCACCCTGTAATGATATGATTTCAGGAAATTGTTTAGAACCACCATGTACTGAATTTACATAAATAAAAAGGCCTGACTCCCCCTGTAAGGAATGCAACTTTGGGTCTACCATTAGTTGACTTAGGACAGGAGTGCTTGGGAAACCACAACTTTACGGCACGCTGTGGATAGCACTCTCGCATCTTCAGCAAGAAGAGAGTGTCTGCATAGGTTTCCTCCGGGTGCTCTGGTTTCCCTACCACTAAAACATGCACAATAGGTCTGGCATGCGCCTCCTGTACTGGCGACCCCACTCCATCTCTGTGAGGACTGAGAGGACAAATGCCCAAAAGTAAACAATTGTAAACCGCTTTGTGACTCTGGTCTGTGAAAGGCGGTATATAAATAAAGATTACTTACTAGAGTCATTCTATCTGTAACAACATATATGTTTAACTAAGTTAGTGTAAAATCGACCAGAGACTGATCTGTGAAAATTAGTTAAATGGGTTTAGAACAACGGACAGACAGATTTATGAGGGGAACAGCATAATAGAGAACATAATGCTTATTGAGGTGACGTTTAACCCAGGACACTCTTTTTGGCCCCATTAGACGGAGACACTGCAAAGCAATTCACACCGTGCCTTCACACGACAAAAAACATGTAGGGTCTAGCGCCCGCCAGGGGGGAGCAAGGAACTTCACAACACAAACCACACAACCCCCACCATGTATTCCCACTTACAGCATCCCTCATGTGAGGGAATTCACCAACATCATTCTGCATTTAACAGTAGCTGCGAAAATGGACACTGAAATTAGAGCTTTGAGTGGTTTTGTTTGGACCAAAGAGTAGAATTTTCCTCCGTGCTCTGCTCGAAGCACACAGCATTAGTTGAGCCGCCGCCATTGTTGTTTACGTTTGTTCTCAGCTACTACAAATTTTTTTGGGCCAGACATCTTAGGCAGCCTTTCACAATCGTCTGCCAGTATATTGGTGGAATTTTTGGCCCATTCAGAACAGATTTAACATAAAAAGGTTAGTTGGACTTTTGTCAGTATCTGCTTTTTGGGCATAATGACCATTGTTATGTTTAGAGGAAAGAATGAGGCAAGCACAGCGAAGAAAACCATCCAAAACATGAAGCCCAAAGGTTGCATCATGTTGTTCAGGGGTTTCTGCCAGGGGAGGGGACAAAAAACTCCCCAAAATGGCTGGCTCAAGGACAACAAAGTCCAGGTGTAGGAGTGGCAATCACAGCCACAACCTCAAGTCCACTCAATATTTGTGGGCAAAGCTGAAAAGGTGGGTACAGGAAAGAAGGCCCACAAACCTGACTTAGTAACATCAGTTCTGTCAATTTAAAAATACAATTCTGACAAATCGTATGTAATTTTCCTGACATTTTCTGTTGGGAATACAAACTGAAATTTAGATTTCCAACCAACTCAATTTTAATTTTTTACAAGCCACACATATGTAATATATAACCATGCAATGCCTCGATCATCTGAGCAGGGCAGGCTTTGCTCATACATGTCATATACAATACATCAATTTTTTCTCAACTGCTTAAACCTGTAAATTGCTTTGCCAATTCACAGATTTAAAGCAATTTGTGGACTTTGCTGCCACTGGTGGAAACTATCCAAACTCAAGTGAGCAAGTTTCAGTGGTTAAACGGGAGATGTAAACAGGACACAAATGGTCTTGAGTTTTAGAAACATTGATCTGAACATGTGGTTAAAGCCTTGTGGTGTCATAACAATACAAATTACTGCCAAAGCAGAGAAATTAAATCCTGAAATGTGGCATATGACATATCAAGTGTACTTGATAGTTCGAAATGTTGGAATCTTATGTGACAATACTACAGCCATAGGATGTGGTAAATGATGAAGAACCAGTGTGAATCTTTAGAGCTGAATACGGATAAGGGAGATATTCATATTTCATATAGCCTATTCCAAGACTGGAGCCTATGCAACATTTGAAATCGTTGACAAGGGTTCTCCTCATTCTGAAACCCACGGCCATGTGTTTAAAAATAATGATCTATGAACTCAGTGGCCACATCGCGACACGTACACAAGCACTGATAATTGAGAAGTGTATATTGACTTCAGCCTATTTGTTGCGATGCTGCGTTCTATAAAAGGCTTTTCTGGAGCGCACGTTGCCTTTTCTATGACCATCCTTTGGAACCACTGAGCCACTGCTTGAGCCACTGCTGGAGCCACTGAGCCAGAGGAACAATGCGCTCCAGGCACACGATAACCGGTACTGTATATGTACATTTATATCTGAGAGAAGGCAAGCTGAGCCCGAGCGCAAAGTGGGCTAGAAGCGCGGCTGCGGCTGATTAGCTCCGCCGCGCACGGGACAGGTGCACAGTGTTCCCAGGCACTCACCGCCAGCGAGCAGGCCGTGGATGAGGCACAAGAGCGGGGGCAGCAGCCAGGGTGCGAGGCGCGCCAGGGCCGTCATGTCGCCGGAGTGGAAGCGTGTGCGTGGAGCCTCTGTGCTCGGTGCTTCAGTCCGCTCCTCCTCCTCTGCGCTGTGGGTGAAGGCTCAGGGCTCCCGGGCCTCTACTGCCTGTCTAATATTCCATTGGGCCTGTGCGCGCGCATTCAGGACACGCGCGCCCCCACGTCCTCGGGTCTCAGCGGGGCGGATCAGCGATGGGACAGGGGCGTTTGTGTACGTGTATATGTAAATGAGGACATAGATGTGACACAGGAGTGTGTCCCGGGCCACATGAATGGCGGCGGTGCGCGAGAGCTGCGGGAGGCAGAGCAGGTTAACCCTTCCCTGCCCGCGTGAGGCTGAGCTGATTCTCAATAATTACAAACTGGGTTAGTCCTAATGAGGTAACTTAAGTTCTACGTAATAAAGGTGCACTGCGTACCAGTCCCTGTTAGACGTTGTTTTAATTTTTGTATTATATAATTAATAGCTATGTGGAATATCACGTCCCTTAGGACTTCGCTAGTGGGACCCCCCCAGGTCACAGACGCCAGAGAGATCAAAATAATTTGCTCCAATCACCAGCCACCTTCCTCTATAAATGCCCCTGCACAAGGCCGCACCCCCTCTTGAACTCTGCCAAGCCGGGCTGGCCTGATGGGCTCGTAGCTAAGGGACTACGCACCTATTCGTAGAACTTAAGTTACATTAGGTAACTATTAATTCTACGTCATGGTGCTACGTCCCTTAGGACTTCGCTAGTGGGACACAACGCGGAGGCCGTAGGAACATGTACTCCCAGCAGGCCAGCGAAGGGTGATTGGAGCTCCGCCCGAGCAAGACCCTCACACCGTGAGAGGACTCAGGGCAGAAGAAACAAAGCGTGTTACCGGGCCACTCCTACCAAGGACGCCCCCACGTAACACCAATCGTAGGTCAACCGTAGTCACAGGACGCCTCTCCCAAGAGCTCCTGATGTAGACTACCAGACCGATCAAACACACATATATGTACCGCACCTGTAGGATGCCTCTCCCAAGAGCTCCTGCACCAGGGCGGAAAATAGACCGAAGGCCCACTCCTCAGGGGAGGGACCCAACGGTCCAACTCAATCCGCTGCACTCAGCACGGAATGGGCCACCGACCGGTCCGACACAATCCGAAAGATAAGACGGACGAAAGAGGAGGACGACGCCCAAGAAGCCGCACGGCAAACGTCCTCGACCGACGCCCCCTGAGAAGGGCCGTAGAGGCCGCCATCCCACGCGTGGAATGCGACCTGAAACCCACCGGGGGGGCCAGGCCCTGCGCCTGATACGCCGTCGCACCGCCGTGGCGACCCAATGCGCCAGCCGCTGAGCCGACAGCGGGGCGCCCTGTTCTTGGGGCCCAGACACACAAACAGCTGATCACCCGACCTGAATGACGACGTCATGGCCAGGTAATGCCTCAGCATTCTGATAGGACACAGAAGGTGCTGCCGCTCCTCCTCGGGGGAGGCATGCGGCGGCGGGTGGAAAGCCCTAATCCTGATCACTCTCGACCTAAAGGCCGACGTGATGACCTTGGGGAGAAAAGCCGGATTGGGCCACAACTCCACCATACCGTCGTCCTCTCCAAAGGACAGGCACGACGCATGGACTGAGAGCGCACACAAATCGCCCCGCCCTTTTTGCAGACGCCAACGCCAGCAAGAGGGCCGTCTTAAAAGCGATACAATCGGGACTCGCCTCCGCCGCCGGTTCAAAAGGCGAACCCGACAGCCCCCTAAGGACCACCCTGAGGTCCCAAACCGGAGGCGTTCTCTGGAGCGGGGGCCTCCTCCTGCGCGCCCCCCGCAGAAAACGTTTAATCAACGGGTGAGAGCGGGCTGTGAACCCCCCGAACCCGTCGTGACCTGAAGTAATGGCTGCCGCAAACACCGCCAAGGTAGCGACAGCCCTCCCCTTGTCGAAAAGCTCCTGTAGGAATCCCAGGACCCCCTCCAGCGGGCAAAACCTGGGATCCCAGGAACGGGAATCGCACCAGGCACTGAATAGCCTCCACCTCGTGGCGTAGGCCCTCACGGTGGACGGCGCCCTCGCTCCCTGAATTGTCTCCACCACCGCAGGGGGAAGACCAGATCTACGAGGCTCCGCCTCTCACCTCCAAACCCAGAGCCTGCGGCCGATTATCGGACGTGAAAACAGGGCTCCTGCCCCCTGGACTAGAGCCCCCGGCTCGTCCGGGAGGGCCCAGGGCTCCATCACCGCCATGCCCCTCAGGAAGGGGAACCACCGGGCATGCGGGCTTGTCCGGAGCCACCAGAATCACCGACCTCCTTCCTGTTCGATCCTCCGCAGTAGGACCGGCAGGAGACGCACCGGTGGAAAAAGCGTACAACAGGCCGCCTGGCCATGGGTAATGAGCCAGAGCGTCCGCCTAAAGGCGGCTCGTCCGCGGCCCCTTAAGGCGAACCAGGACGGGCACTGTGCGTTCTCTGCATGGCGAAAAAGGTCGACTACTGGACGACCGAAATCCGCCAGATCTGGGTGGGCTACCCGTGGGGCCAGGCCCAAGTCTGGCTTGGGCCCTGGACATCAGTCGGTCCACGTTCCGGACCCTGGAACGTGGCGGCCTGCGAGACCAGGTCGTTGCATGCGCCACAGCAGGTCACGTCGCATGCGATGGAGAGCGGTTGACAGGAGCCAGCAGAATCATAAAGTACTACCTGAGTATAATTAATCTTCCATTCTATTTCAGAGATCTTTCAAATCTCGCACACGCCGAACCCCCCCCATAATTATCCATCCACATCTCGTAATCATTTCTGTATCTATCCTCTCCCTCCACCCTCTACATTCTTTCCCTCCAAACTCTTCCTATACTGAGCCCCCACGTCTATCTACCAGTCTTCCTTTACACACCTATCCTACTCCTTATTTTCCCTACCATAATTGATCAGTATCTAATTTTCCTCACATCACCTACTGTGCTTTTTTAATATAGTCGCTGCTCCCCCCCACATCCACATTTCAATATTTCTCCTTACTCTCCCCCCCTCCGCGCTATCACCCACCCGCATTTTCATCTTTCTCGTGTTTCCAATTTTCCCTCCATCCCCCGGTCAGAAGTTTTCCAATTACTATATAGTCTTTCCACATCCTCAGGCAACAACCCGTAGAACTATCTCCTTTGACCACTAATTTATTTATTTTCTAATATAACATAACCCCCCCCTCATCTCTTTCTTATTTACCCTCCCCATTTATTTTTACCCTTCCAAACCTTCATTGTTCCTTACAACCCCACTAACCACAATTACCACAAAACCTTCCCTAATCCTTCACCATTCTCAACACAAATTCCCCCTATTCTTTTCTCTTCCCTCCCATTTCTCTATACAGTGAGTGTAGTGAAGTAACCCTCTCTCTGATCACATAATATAACATTCCACATTTAATATTACCTAAATCTACATACTGAAATGTCATACTCTTCAAACATCCACTCTTTCTTAATATTCATATTACCAATTAAATTCCCATCATAAACCCACTCGTTCACCTCCATTTCTCTATAAAAAATTTCCTCCATACTTTTTTATTTTATTTATTTTTAAACAAATATGGTGAGTAAGCAGTTATTAGATCTTCTAATATACAGTCTCTCCTCAGTTGTCTTCATCGTCCTATTGCCTGTAGTTTTAATACTTCCCCAATCTTTAAATGTCCGCTAATATCCTCTCAATCTTCCTATAAACTCATTCTAATACAATTTCTTTGGTGACTTTATAGTTCACTCGCGACATCTCCAATTATAAACTCTTTATTTTTTTCTCGCGCCTCCCACGGCGCCTTTTTTCCATTACCCCATATCTCGTCCGAGTTTTACATATAATTTACCTTACAATACCTTTCATTACCCTATACCCTTATCATATCTCCAGGACTATTCATCTTTTAGGGGTTTTTCCTCAACGTTCCCACCTTTAAATCCATTAGCAACATCACACACGCGTTGACTGTGCTGCGCCCCCTATGGTTCTAGCCCAAACGCGATTTGTGTGTATACTATGCCTGCTTCAAAGGAACCCCCTTGTAAGCAATGTAGCTAGCCTCATCCACGCGTGACGCTGTGCTCCCCTCGGTCAGCTCCAGTAGGGGGTGGAGATCATTGAATGTTACCAGTGTTAGCTTGTAGCTCAGAAGATGCTCAACACGTAGCCAAGGGCGCAATTAGCCAATCATAGAACAGCCTGCTTTTCGGAGGGCAAAATGAACCCGTGAATCGAGAGAGGTCATGACCGCGGTGCAGCTCTAGGGGGCTGCGGTTGGGGAGCGTATATGAGAGGACGTACACACCCAAAGACATCACTTCATTAGACCTGATACATACCCATGAGAACCGGCAGGAGTCTGTGAAATGCGGCCGTCTTTATGATGAGGTTTTTCCACCCCGACCTCTTAGTAGGGAGGCGTCGATGGTTAGTGGTCCGGAATCGAGAGTGTTGGGCGGGGGTTGGTGGGGACAGAAGGGCCGGAGGGGTGGAACTTGTCCGGGCGCTTGAGTGCGAGCGCTTCTGCCTCTGTTGTCTCCGCGTGGTGGGGGGTCGGTTCGTAGTAGGATTATTTGCACGGGTAGGAGTCCTTAGGGGTGGCTGTATAGGTAGCTCTGGCCTGAGAGGATGGAGATGGGCGGTCGAGCAGATCTTTGCCTTCTGAGGTTCCGCCCCAGCAGAGGTGTCTGGCGCTCAGGGCTGCTCAAAGCGCGGCGCATCGACGCTTGGTTGGGCATTGGGCCGGATCGTGCTGAAGTTGACTGAGGGGCTAAGGGCGCGTCTCCATGAGTGCCTGGTCAGAGGAGAGAGACTATCCAGGGCCGGTGATGAAAGCCCTGTTGTTGCCAGCGCGTGATGGGCTAGGGGAGTAACTCTGTTTATGTAGCCAGAGAATCCAATCCGCATGGAGGGACGGAGCGGATGGTGTGGGCACCGGATGAGGGGGGTGCTAGTGCGCCTGATACCGAGCTCGATGTCGGGACCGCCTGTTTTCAGGACCTAGTTCCTGCCGATGCAGTACTGCAGTTTCCAAAGCGGGCTCTTGGCCGTTGGGGTTTTGGCCATCACGTGTCGCGTAATGGTCGATGGGTCCATAGCGGGCACAACGTGGGCTGGGCTCTCTCCTTTCCTGAGGGGCTGCGTAACCAGAGGTGAAGTCCTCCACCTCTGGTTCGGTGGCGGTTTGGCGGGGGCTCCATATGATGGCCGCCGCGTGGCGTAGTGCCAGGCATGTGGTTCAGGGGAAGGGGTCGGCGGGGTTGGGACCACACCTCGTAGTCCAGGTGAGGAGAGAGCCGACCTCGAACCTCTCGTCCTCGCAGTCACCAACTCGCGGGCATGGGTGGACGGAGATCGCGGGGGGGCGCCTGTCAATCGCAGCAGGACTCCCGTCTGAGAGGGGTTCGGAACGGGGGCGCTGGTAGCGGCGAAGAACGCGCGCCTGGCGTTCACTCTCCGCCTGGGGGAGAGCAGAACCGAGGCGGCAAGGTGGCGTCTAAGCCGCATGGCCCGAACCAGGCACAGGAAGCAGCTGGAGTGCTGGTCCTGCGTGGAGCTTGACCGACAGGCGAGCAACGATCGCGTCCGACGCGGATGGCGAAGGGGAACTCGGCGTGCATCGAAGAATACTTCTTTCTCAGGTACGTTGAATGTAGATCTCCACGGGACAGAGTGAAAGAGGGGGTGCGGCCTGTGCAGGGGCCTATATATAGGAAGGTGGCTGGAGAATTGGAGAATTATTTTGATCCTTTGGGTTGTGACTGGGGGGTCTGTGAAATCCCACTGCGAAAGTCCTAAGGGACGTAGCACCAAGACGTAGAATGTGTTGGTAGGGGCAGGTGGCATGTAGATATTATGAGTGCTGTGTTACTAAGTACAAACTATTTATGTATACAACATTACAATGTTGGCGTAACGTGAGAAGGGGTTGAAGAGATTCTTGTTAGTTCTTTCGCACACGGGGGACATTTTCGGAGTGTCAATCGAAGAGTCTGTAAGCAGGCATGTTTTTATCTATATTATTTAGTGTGGACTTTTCTTTCTTGGTTTTATTTGTTGCATGGGTTGTGAGAGTTTATTTGAGTGTATATTTGATTTT